TGATAAAATAGTGAAGAGTAGAGAGATCACACTGGCAATGAAGATCTGCATAGTTAAAGCAATGGTATTCCCCGTAGTAACCTATGGATGCTAGAGCTGGACCGTAAGGAAGGCTGAGTGAAGGAAGATAGATGCTTTTGAACTGTGGTGCTGGAGGAAAATCCTGAGATTGCCTTGGACCGCAAGTAGATCCATCTGGTCCAAACTTCAGGAAATAAAGCCCGACTGCTCATTGGAGGGAAGGATATTAGAGGCAACAATGAAGTACTTTGGCCACATTATGATAAGACAGGAAAGCTTAGAGAAGACAATGATGTTGGGGGGAAAGGAAGAGGGGCTGACCAAGGGCAAGATGGATGGATGGTATCCTTGAAGTGACTGGCTTGATTCTGAAGGAGCTGGGGCTGGTGACAGCTGACAGGGAGCTCTGGCATGGGCTCGTCCATGAGGTCACAAAGATTCGGAAGCGACTGAACGAATAAACAACAAGGCTAGATGGACCTATGATCTTTTTAAAATTATGGTGGAAATAACATTATGAAGAAATGAATTCCTCTACTAAGTATTAATATAGCAACATCTATTCTGTGGTATGTATCTGTTTTAGCTGCATGTGTTTGTTCTTATTTATTGAAATATTTCTATCTCGCTCTTAGTAAAGCAAATAGAGCAAGTTAACATGTACTCCCCAGAGTGTGGTGGAGGTTTCTTCTTTGGAAGCTTTTAAGCAGAGGCTGGATGGCCATCTGTCAGGGGTGCTTTGAATGCAATATTCCTGCTTCTTGGCAGGGGGTTGGACTGGATGGCCCATGAGGTCTCTTCCAACTCTATGATTCTATGACTTGGAAAAAAAATACTCCCCAGAAGCTTTAATATGAAATCATGGCTTTTCTTGGCACTAGAAAGAAATCAACTTGAAAGAAATCAGAACTCCAGGGGAGGTAATTCCACAATCTTGCTTCTAATATGAGACTCAAGGAGGCTTACAGCACAAACCATAGAGTATAATGTCCTACTTAAGTAACCTGTGTCTACATTTTTCTGGAGTTGGATCCTGTTTATAGGAATCTTTTACTTGTCTGTTTTTTTCTCTTCAGGTTCTCTCAATCAGCAAATGAATATTCCACATTTTAAATAGGCAAAATGTCTGTTTAATAATTGCATTACATTTTTTTTAAAATAGGTCATATTTCACAAATCTTTGCAGTTTAGTTTTGCTATATAGGAAAATCAAAGTGGAAGGAAGATCTGGGTTGGTGCAAAAACTATGCAAAATTTCCTCTTAATGCCTGGTACCGAGAATGTAGAAATTGGGCATTTTTTCCTGGAGTGGGAATATATTATCTATCACAAATATGCTGATAAATTCACTTTACATTTTTATTCGCTAAGTTGGATTTGTGTCTATGTGTAATGCATAATCAACTGAAACCATCTTTGCTTAGAAAGCAGAGCAACAGGTTTTTAAGAAGCTGTTGGAAGTTTTTACCACTGGTAATAGGTGACATCACTTGATTCAAACTCACAAAGTACATCTTTGCCAGAAGCCCATTTCCTTCATGCTGCTATGGTCTGTTACGTATTCTTCTTCAAACTTGACTTGGTCCAATTTAGTGGCACTACCAGCTTATTCTGGAACATAAATAGGAAAAGCCTTTGCTTTCTGTGCTATTTGTCTTCCCAAGCATTTCCCCCAAATTCCTTTTCATCTTTAGGGACTGAGCAGGCTTAGAAACCTGATATAATTCCACTGGAAGCAGAATGGAATTACACTAATGCTAATAATGGTTTTCAGATGCACCTTAAGATTTATAGAAATCAATGAAAACCATGTCTGTCAGCTTGTCAGGGCTGCTGTTTCGGTGAACTATCAGCCTTAATGGTATGAGCATTTCTGTTTGACATAGAATATTTTAGATTGCATTAAACTCCATCTTCATTTTTTCTGAGCAAATGTTGATTCTTACAGCTGTTGTATTAATAGCTATATCGCAGTATTAGTGAAAGATGTTTGTGTAACATATGAAATAAAAAGCAATATAATGAAAAAGATTTCTTTGTTTTTTCAGAACTGGAGATTAAAAAGAATCCAATCTTGAAACAATGGCAGCTAAATCATCACTCCTGAAAGTAATCCTTCTAGGAGATGGTGGAGTTGGAAAGAGTTCAATTATGAACAGATATGTTACTAACAAGTTTGACACTCAGCTGTTCCACACGATAGGTGTAGAGTTCTTAAATAAAGACCTGGAAGTGGATGGACACTTCGTCACAATGCAGATATGGGACACAGCAGGTCAAGAGCGGTTTAGGAGCTTACGGACTCCTTTCTACAGGGGTTCTGACTGTTGTCTTCTCACTTTCAGCGTAGATGACTCTCAAAGTTTCCAAAACCTGGGTAACTGGAAAAAAGAATTTATTTACTATGCAGATGTGAAAGATCCTGAAACATTTCCTTTTGTGATACTGGGGAACAAAGTAGATATAAGTGAAAGGCAAGTGTCTACGGAAGAAGCCCAGCTCTGGTGCAGAAACAACGGCAATCATCCTTACTTTGAAACTAGTGCAAAAGATGCTACTAATGTTGCAGCAGCTTTTGAGGAAGCTGTTCGAAGAGTTCTTGCCACCGATGATAGGTCAGATCACTTGATTCAAACTGATACAGTTAACCTTCACCGAAAGCCCAAGCCTACTTCATCATGCTGTTGACTACTTAGTTTTATTTCTTGGTTATATATCATTCTAACTTAACTTGGAATAATAATAAATCAATATGATTCAGTGGGTGCCACTCTAATATATAATATTGTACTGTTTTCCTGCTTTATGTGTCAGCCAGAAGAGAAGTTCTCTTCAGTAAATGACCTATTGCAAAATTAGCGGTGTCTTATATCTGGGAAGGTACCAGTTCAAGGGTTCATTTAATTTAAACATGTTTGAAAATTAATAAATTATATACTAAAACTTGAAAGTTCTAGAAGCACTACTTGGGGGACTTGTTCTGAAATTGAGATGCAGAGTAGATTTTTTATATGTACATATATATTTTTATGAGATCACTAGTCCTTGTGTTGCTTCACTAAAACCTTTTTTATAAAGCAATAATAATAGTTATTAGAGTATTGTTCCAATTGTCCATCTTTAATGTGATTGTTTTTGTTTAAATTAAGCTACTATAAACACCTTAAGGGCTTTTGCTGTTTGCCTAGTATTACTGAACTGCCTGTAGATTTAAAAATAAGAAATAAATATGCATACGTAGAGCCTGCTTGTGTGTGTATACTTCACTGACAGGAAATGCTTTGCTGTTCCTATGTTGGAGAAATCTGGGGTTTAACAGCCTCAGCTGCTGGCACTTTGAACTACAGGTTTACACTCCAGATTTCCTAGGGTTAGAGGCACAAGACTCCTGTGAAACTGAAAACAAAATACAAATAAAAATTACATATTTTTTACCTGAGAAAACGGCTCTGTAGAATTTTTTCATCTTCCATCATGACTCTATGGTCACTTTGTGTTGGAAGATAACCATGGAATTGCATTGGAAGACCTATTTTCCTAGGAGGTATTCTCTCTAGATCTTTCAGCATGACTGGAAGAAGTTAACCAGAGTCACTGGAGAACCTAGAGCAGTGTTTCTTAACCTGTGGGTCCCCAGGTGTTTTGGCAAACAACTCACAGAAACCCCAGCCAGTTTACCAGCTGTTAGGATTTCTGGGAGTTGAAAGGCAAAACATCTGGGGACACACAGGTTGAGAACCACTGACCTAGGAAGTTTCTACAGAGAGCATTTTAAATACAATCCACAAATAATCAAATCTCCAAATGTGTAGGGATGGTTATATAAGTGGATATTTAATCATGGTGAATCCTATTATAGTATTCTTCAATTTTTTGCAGTTAATGTGAAAATATTTTCTGAGGTTTATCAAATTTTTGAAAGTGTAGGCTTGTGTGGTTTGTCGCTGATGTTAGCGCTTTGTGTTGACACTTAACTTTGGATTCATCAGTTGATAGTCTCTCAGTTGATGTCTAAAGAATTGTAAGATCGAGAAGCAAAATTGTACTTTGTTGTAAGTTACTTTGTGCTTAGACCGGGGAAAGGGAGGTAAATCAGCTGAAAAGTAAGGGGGGGATTTGGATGAAAGGGAAGAACTTCTCATCTTTCATGACTTAGTCATGTTTAAAGAAACTTTAAGAGAAGCGCCACATTGTAACACTTGAAACCAAGTAACCATTTTCTTTGTATCATGCATCAGCCTAGGCCCAGAAGCATATGAAAGCCTCTCCCTTCATCCCAACTACTGCTGCCCTGACCTCTGGGAGAGAACCGGCAGTATCAGCTGGACTTGATCCCCTTCTGTCCCCTTTTCCTTTTGTGTCATGTCTTAATCAGATTGTAAGCTTGAGGGGAGGGAATGGTTTTCTTGTTTACTTGTCAAGTGTCATGTACAATGATGATGCTTTACAGGTGATGACAATGCTGGTAATTTTATACCATAATCTGCCATTTACTACTTCAAGTCAGCAGCTTTATAACCACACACTTAAGACTATTAATCGGTGGTGCCAGAATGAATTGATATATGGGTAGTAACAGACATATCTAGGTTAAAGAACTGACTAATTTATAAAGTGCAACAACAAAAAGTCCAGAGAGAAGATGGTTCCCTGTGTAACACACATTTTTGTTGCATTGTGTTCTGCCAAATTAAGTTCAGTGTTGGATATTACAGAGGGCCCTTTGTATTCACTGAGGTTTGCTGCTAAGACTCCCTATGGATACCAAAAATCATGCACATTCAATTCCCATTACATAAAGTAGCATTGTAAATCTCTTATACAAAATGGCAAAATCTAGGCTCTCTTATTGTAATTAAAAATATATTCTCAAGCTGCAGTTTGCTGAATTTGTGCATGCAGAATCCATGGTTATGGAGGTCCCACCGTACTGACGAAGTCCATAGTAACTTCTCAATAAGGATGCTTATGACAAAATAATGTAGATTTTTTTATTTCATTATATACAAATATTTTACAACTTAAATGATTTGGAGACACTAATTGCTGGGCAGCAGAGGTTGTTTTAATTTTCTCCTCTGGCATTAGAGCAGTTTGTGGATATCTTGCACCTTTAGACTGCAGTCTGGTCCTCACATCCAGAAGATGACAAACATACAGTAGGACATATATTAAGTAACAAAAGAGTATGGTCATGGCATTTCAGCTTAAAAGATGTTTCTTTCCAAGAAACTGAACTTTTCTGTCAAATGCAGTTGATCGAATTGGAGAATTGGGTTCATAAAATGGATTCATTGCAAACTGAGGAAAGAAGATAACATAGAACATATTAAGAATTAAGACAGTCTTTTCAAATGTAGGTGGAGTCAAAGATTCAGTATTGTGTTTTTTTACCCTGAGAAGTATTATTTTGTTGATACTGTAACTACCTCAGGATGCTGCCTAGACAAAAGATACTTCAAATCAAGATCAACAGTTTTAGCCCATTCGAGTATTAGCATTGTTATATTTCATTATCGTATAGAGAGTGATCTGAAAAGGCAACATGTACCCTTTTTACTGCTCAGCAAGTTAGTTTCACAGATGTGGAATATGCAGTAGCTCTTAAACAGCCCATAGGACTGGTAATGTTTCTTTTTAACAAAACACAAGTCCAGCATCATTCTGAAAAGCAATCTTCAACAACTTGTAACAGCTAGAGTGAAATATTTTGTGGACCTTCCCTGCATGGGTTGGGAAGTAGCAGTGCACTGTTCTGTAATACAATCTGTGCCTAAACAGTGAGAAATTTCCACTCCCCTGTTAATATGGTTCTTATAGATTTAGACATGCTAATGCTTAAAGCATAGTAAGTGAAAAGATATGCTTCCCCCACTCTAGATTCCTACTGTTACATAATTTGCTTTATTTGTGCTGGTAAATAAATAATTCTCACCTTTATATACAGGTCATAGACATCATTGAAGAAATTTTTGATTCCATCTTCTTGCCTTACATCATGAAGCATTATAAATCTCATATGTGGGACAAGTTAAGAAAATACGAATATATATTTATATAAAAACACCAGGGCAGCATATAACATAAAATCATGAAAAATAAAGAACATAGAACAATTTTGGAAATATATGTAACTGAGTTACAGTGATAAGAAATGCTATGTCTAGATTATTAACCCGGAAGACTGTACTGACTATCTTTGGGCCCGATTATTGTAGTATTCTGCTGGTTCCCATTTTNCAGAGGTGCCTCTGTGCCCCTGGCAAAAAAAGTGTTCTGCGACCGCTTACTTCGCGTAATGGATGAGCCGCCTCTGCACAGACCATTCTGAACCCCACCAACAATAGAATTGGGCCAAACTTCCCACACGGAACCCCCATGACCACCAGAGTGGGTCACAGCAACACGTGGCAGGGGATGGCTAGTAAATAAAATAAATAAATATTGCCAATCTCTCTTGAGAGTCTGGCTGTTTGCTCTTGTGGCTTCATATCCCAATAGAGTTCCCTCCACATACACACACAGTGAACCAATCTTTGAGTCTCCCATCCAAAAAAAACCTACTGCAGAAAGGAATTAGATCATTTGAATGACATAAAGTGGGTTTCTTCTGCTTTGCCTGCCCTCTTCCTCAAAGGACACCTTCTTCATATTGTCCTTTGGGGAAGAGGGCAGACAGACCCCCACCCACTTCACTCTCATCATCTCCCATGTTGTGAAATACTCATAAACGTGTCTCGCCTGGCTTTGTTTGCTGTCAACAAGAGGCCCGCTAATGAAATATACACTGCAAACAAAGCGATGCTTATCATCATGTACGGCCAGCCAGCCTTCCCTCCCCATCTGAGGCTTCTCTTGGGGTCCTTCTATAGCAGTGTTTCTCAACCTTCCTAATGACACGACCCCTTAATACAGTTTCTCATGTTGTGCTGACCCCCAACCATAAAATTATTATCATTGCTACTTCATAACTGTAATTTTACTACTGTTACTAGCGGTCCCCTGCCACGCGTTGCTGTGGCCCAGTCTGGTGATCTGGAAAATAAAGCAATGAGAAAGTGTTGGTTTCTAATCTATGTAATGTCTTTATGCTTGTGGGTAAACAGTATTTCTTGCTGCTTCTTTGCCAGTGTTGATGTGGAGAGTGTCTGGTTTGCCTCCTCTGGAATATGCAACATATCATAGTCCTTTTTTAGGGGTCCCTTTCAAATCTATGATACTATTATCTCTGTGTGTGTTTGAATCATATCTATCTATCTATATCTATGGTTGGATGGTTCTGTGTCAGGAGGGCTCTGGCTGCATTTTCTTGCCCTGGTGAAGAGTTGGACTGGATGGCCTTAAGTATTTTCTGTTGGTCATGGTGTTAGAGACCCTAAATTGGGTCTTCTTAGGTCCACATTGCAAGAGCACGAAAGGAAGGAGACAGTCCCAATGAAAGATCAAAAAACAAGGTTTATTTTTAGTTTCTTCATGAAGAAGATGGACAGCCTGGGAGCATACGCAGATGCTACCCTTCAAGTGACTGCCGTGCCCCCTTGGCTTTTGACCACCATTATATAACCTCAAGTAAACAAGAACAATTTTTTGTCATGGAAAGTACTCTCTTTCCAGCCCCCCTCCCTTGACCTTTTGATGGAAAGTACCTTCTTGTACATGCATACTCTGCACTTTACCACAACCTTTGAAGTTAACCACAACACAACATCCTGTGTAAGAAAGTACCCTCTTGTACGTCAAGATGTCACATCTTGTTTCTTAAAAACATTTTCTTCCGTATTGCTCTTTTTCTACAGAGAAAGGGTATATTTCTCTTTTGTTGTTAATTTCATTCAAAGCCCCTTGCTTAGTATTTGCAAATTTCGCTCAAAGACCCTTTCAATGGGGGTCCTGTGTGGGAAATTTGCCCCAATTCTGTCATTTGTGGGATTCAGAATGCTTTTTGATTGTAGGTGAACTATAAATCCCAGTAACTACAAATCCCAAATATCAAGGTCTATTTCCCCAAACTCCATCTGTGTTCATATTTGGGCATATTGAGTATTCCTGTTAAGTGTGGTCCAGATCCACCATTGTTTGAGTCCACAGTGCTCTCTGGATGTAAGTGAACTACAACTCCCAAACTCAAGATCAATGCCCACCAAACCCTTCTAGTGTTTTCTGTTGGTCATGGGAGCCCTGTATGCCACATTTAGTTCAATGCCATAATTGGTGGAGTTCAGAACGCTCTTTGATTGTAGGTGAACTATAAATCCCAGCAACTACAACTCCCAAATGACAAAAATAAAAAAAATTGTGTGAAGGACATACATTGGGTTGTTAGGTCTATGCTGTCCAAATTTGGTGTCAATTGGCCCACTGGTTTTTGAGTTATGTTAATCCCACAAATGAACATTACATTTTTATTTATATAGATAATCATAATGTAAGTATCTGATATGCTGATTAGGTGAATTGCACTATGTAACACTGCAAGTGGCTTCTGGTGTGAGAGAATTGGCCGTCTGCCAGGACATTGCCCAGAGGAAGCCCAGATGTTTGATGTTTTACCATCCTTGTGAGAGGCTTCTCTCATGTCCCCGCATAGGGAGCTGGAGCTGGCAGAAGGAGCTCATCTGCGCTCTCCCCAAGTTTGAACCTTTGACCTGTTTCTCAAGTTGCTCCTGACACAGAATAATAATAATAATAATAATAATAATAATAATAATAATAATAATAATAAAGCTGTAATAAAACCGCTGTTGAAAAAACCATCACTGGACCCCACTCAATTCGTCAACTATCGGCCTGTTTCCAATCTCCCCTTTTTGGGCAAAGTCATGGAACGTGTGGTGGCCTCACAACTCCAGGCATTCTTGGTAGACACGGATTATCTGGATCCGGCACAGTCTGGCTTTAGGCCGGGGCATGGTACCGAGACAGCCTTGGTCGCCTTAGTGGATGATCTGCGCCGGGAGCTCGACAGGGGGAGTGTGTCCCTGTTGGTGCTGCTGGACCTCTCAGCGGCCTTCGATACCGTCGACCACGGTATCCTTCTGGGACGCCTCGCAGGGATGGGTCTTGGAGGTACTGTTTTGCAGTGGCTCCGCTCATTGCTCGAGGGTCGGTCTCAGATGGTGTTACTGGGAGACTCCTGTTCAACCCCACAACCTTTGTCTTGTGGGGTTCCTCAGGGTTCAATACTGTCTCCCATGTTGTTTAACATCTACATGAAGCCGCTGGGTGAGATCATCCGGAGTTTCGGAGTGCGATGTCATCTGTACGCAGATGATGTCCAACTCTGTCACTCCTTTCCACCTGCTACTAAGGAGGCTGTCGAGGTCCTGAACCGGTGCTTGGCTGCTGTGACGGTCTGGATGGGGGCGAACAAATTGAAATTGAATCCAGACAAGACAGAGGTACTCCTGGTTAGTCGTAAGGCTGAACAGGGTATTGGATTACAGCCTGTGTTGGATGGGGTCGCACTCCCCCTGAAGACACAGGTTCGCAGCTTGGGGTGATCCTGGACTCACCGCTGAGCCTGGAACCCCAGGTTTCGGCGGTGACCAGGGGAGCCTTCGCACAGTTAAAACTTGTGCGCCAACTGCGACCGTACCTTGGGAAGTCTGACTTAGCCACGGTAGTCCACGCTCTGGTTACATCCCGCCTTGATTACTGCAACGCTCTCTACGTGGGGTTGCCTTTGAAGACAGTCCGGAAGCTCCAGTTAGTCCAACGGGCGGCAGCCATTATTCTAACAGGAGCGGGGTGCAGGGAGCATACAACTCCCTCGCTGAACCAGCTCCACTGGCTGCCGATATGCTACCGGGCTCAATTCAAAGGTGCTGGCATTGGCCTTTAAAGCCCTAAACGGTTCTGGCCCAACTTATCTATCCGAACGTATCTCAGCCTATCAGCCCACCAGGACCCTAAGATCTTCCGGAGAGTCCCTTCTCTCTATCCTCCAGCTTCAGAAGTGCGGCTGGCGGGAACGAGAGATAGGGCCTTCTCTGTGGTGGCCCCTCGGCTTTGGAACGCCCTCCCTATAGAGGTACGATCAGCCTCATCGCTGATGGTGTTTAGGAAGAGACTCAAAACATGGTTATTCAAACAAGCATTCGGCTAATCTGTGGCAATTAAATCGAATCTTGGTGACTATGGACAGGAATATGGACAACGAATTCTGGATTGTGATTTCAACTTGAGATATATGGGATTATTATTGGTGGCCCAATAATTTGTTATTGTATTTGTATATGTTTTTAAACTGAGATTGTTTTTAAAATGCTGTAAACCGCAATTGAGTCGCCGTTCTGGGCTGAGAAATTAGCGGTATACAAGTGTACCAAATAAATAAATAGATTATTCATGGTAAGATGATTCCAGAAAAGGAATGATCATAGCTGCTGTACCTTTCAAAGCTGCAAAACACTGTCCCTAGTGGCTACTAAGAGGTCAAGGAGCAATCACTGGGCTACCAATCTCCTTCATAGGATTCCCAGCAAGAGTTAAACCATATCCAATAATAGGACCACTAAGTGCCCTTCATTTTGCCAGGTTCAAGATCAGTTTGAGAAAAAGTGTTAGGTTTTAGCAACATGCTGATTGTATGTGTCCCTCTAGATCAGTGATTCTCAACCTTCCTAATGCCCCAGCCCCTTAATACAGTTCCTCATGTTGTGGTGACCCCCAACCATAAAATTATATTTGTTGCTACTTCACAAATGTAATTTTGCTACTGTTATGAACCGTAATGCCAATATCTGATATGCAGGAATGACCAAATTTGGTACAAATTAATTTATTTATTTATGACATTTCTAGCCCGTCTTTCTCAGCCATACGGCGACTCTAGGTGAGTCAAAGATTGGCATAATTCAATACCATACGTTCATAAAAGTGCAATTAAAAACAGTCAACATAACAATATAAAACATATATAAAAACCATTAAAAACATGTAAATACCTGATACCCCCAAATTTGAATACTGGTGGGCTTGGGGAGGGATTGATTTTATCATTTGGGAGTTGTAGTTGCTGGGATTTATATTTAACATACAATCAAAGAGCATTCTGAACTCCAACCAATGATGGAATTGAGCCAAACTTGGAACAAAGAACTCCCATGACCGACAGAAAATACTGGATGAGTTTGGCGAGCATTGACTGAGTTTTGGAGTTGTAGTTCACCTACATCCAGAGAGTACAGTGGACTCAAACAATGACGGATTGGGCCAAACTTCCCACACAGAACCCCCATGACCAACAGAAAATACTGCTCTTTGATTGTATGTTAAATATAAATCCCAGCAACTACAACTCCCAAATGATAAAATCAATCCCTCCCCAAGCCCACCAGTATTCAAATTTGGGGGTATCAGGTATTTACATGTTTTTAATGGTTTTTATATATGTTTTATATTGTTATGTTGACTGTTTTTAATCGCACTTTTATGAATGTGCTTTACGCGTGAGTAGGCCACGCGGAGCAGCTGCCCTTGGCTGGCTCACGCTGCCCATTGGGCCTGACGGACAGCGTGAGCCAGCCAAGGGAGGGACATTGTGTGAGCGCTCCTCCTCCGCGGGCCGGATCATAGAATCATAGAATCAAAGAGTTGGAAGAGACCTCATGGCCATCCAGCCTCTGTTTAAAAGCTTCCAAAGGAGGAGCCTCCACCACACTCCGGGGCAGAGAGTTCCACTGCTGAACGGCTCTCACAGTCAGGAAGTTCTTCCTCATGTTCAGATGGAATCTCCTCTCTTGTAGTTTGAAGCCATTGTTCCGCGTCCTAGTCTCCAGGGAAGCAGAAAACAAGCTTGCTCCCTCCTCCCTGTGGCTTCCTCTCACATATTTATACATGACTATCATATCCCCTCTCAGCCTAGAGGCATTATCTCCTGACGTTTCGCCTGCATCTGTGACAAGCCCTTGGCGGGCTGGAAGTGGCCCGCGGGCCATAGTTTGAGGACCCCTGCTTTAAATCATATAATCCTGTACCAGCTTAATTTAAGTGTGTATCTTACACAAACCAAGAATAGTTGCAATTCCAAGGTTGCTCCTAAACTCTAACACATATGGATGGAAGACTTTCTACTGGCAGGAAAGCCCCTAAAAGGTCATATGGAATGCTTCTGTCACACTGGAAGGGACACCTACTTTGGGGAGATTGGGAACAAGTGTTTCTCAAACTGCTCCTCCAGGTGTTTTGGACTTCAGCTCCAAGAAATACCAGCTAGTTTACCAGCAGTTAGGAATTGTGGGAGCTGAAGTCCTAAACATCTGGAGGAGCACGGTTTGAGAAACTCTGCTCTAGACAGAAACCAAGAGAACAGGTTGCCAGGGAAGTAAATTTGCAAATGTTGTCTCACCATCCCTTCCTCCAACTAGATCTTGTTCTATTCTGCAAATTGATGTAGCTTTTCAGTTTGGAAGCCTAGTTAGAATCTCAACCATTGTTCCAAGCTCATATTTTACCAAGTTCTTCATCAGTAAACTGCCCCACCCTCAAAAGGATATGTCCTGCAGTAACAAAAGCTGAGACAAACCATTCATTAAATTTGTCCACAGTCTTCAAATACATATTATTAGATAGCCACATATTCTCATCCACCAGGTCAAGGGCAGCATGAGCTATGAATTGATTAAGATGGCGATGGTCATCCTGAGGGGGCAAAGGAAATTATCCTCAAAAACAGAATAAAGCATAATTTTATTAAACACACTGCTTGGTGTAAAATCTGTCTGTAATACAACAGATAACTATGAAGTATTTAAGTACATTTCACATTTAATGTAATGTATGTCTGGAATGAGAATCAGGAATTGAGCCAGTATATTCTATTCAAAGCAAATCACAGGTATCTGCTTTAAATATTTTCAACATTCTTGCATATACAAAAATATGTCACTGTGGCATGCACGGTGAATGATATGAACTCCCTGCAGTTTTTTTGTAAGCAATTCCAAAAGTTTTGTTTCAGTTGTTAATGGAATGATTTAATGCAACACATCTGTATTGCCACTAGTTTGGTACTTTCAAAACTGCCCTACTGATGATCAGCAGAACAGGATCCATCTGCTCCTGGTGAGAGTTAGCACATATGCCAAAGGTTGAGGCCTACGCATTGCGATTCAAACTTCTGGATTTTCACTAGTAAAAAAAAATATTAGACTATGAAGCTGCCCATCAGTACATCTTGTTATTCTGCATTTTCTATTACCCTTAATCTCATTATTGGTCTGTGCACATTTTTTCAATGAGACAGTACTGAATGCAGTGGAGCATTTTATCATTTGTTGCTGTGGAATCCAGGAATGGACTATAAAGCCAGAGATCCCTCTGCGCCAAGCTAAGTGGACAGATGCGAGCAGTGACATACTACCTTGCCAATCTAATTCACACCAGACATTTTTCTTGGTTTATCGTCCTTCTTCAAAGTAATTAAAATACAATTTTGGGAAGGATAAGGAAACAAATACCAGATATTTGGATATATTTCTTTGGAGCAATAATGATTTTAATGGCAACTAATTTAGATAAGAACCAAGATGAAAAATCAAGTCTCTAAATGGATCCAATGCCCTGATTTCAATACTATGTACATGTGCAGTATTTAAACAAGATTTCACACCTTAGATTCTATTTTACCAGCTGGTAGAAATTCCATTTCAAACACTGGATTGTCATGATGACCCACAATTACAAAGTAGAAGCTTCCAGACATGATTCAAGTATTGTCCGTTCTGAAAAAAACAACAACATAATAGTGTGGTTGAAAGTGTCAAGTTGGCTACTGTATTCATCACTCTAATAATGAGGGTCCTCGCTTTTAAAGTCTTGGAGCCCTTTTTGAAGGAAAAGTTTCTTGTGGAGTCCCAAGAAACTTTTGGTCACAGGGGCTGCAATGCATTTTAAAATTTAACAAATGGGCTGTGCCAGATGGATAGAAAATGTTTTTGTGAACTCATTGGTGCACAAATTTTAATTGTGCAAAAGCTCTCCCGGCCACCGCCAAGACCTGGGGTTCCAGGCTCAGCGATGAGTCCAGGATCACTCCCAAACTGCGAACCTGCGTCTTCAGGGGGAGTGTAATCCCGTCTAACACAGGCTGTAATCCTATCCCTGATTTATGAGGCCCTTATCCAGGCTGACACAGAAGCCAAAGCAGCGGTTCAGGACCTGCACAGCCTCATTAGTAACAGGAGGGAAGCAGTGATAGAGCTGAACAACATCCGCGTACAGATGACATCTAACCCCAAAACTCCAGATGATCTCTCCCAGTGGCTTCATGTAAATGTTAAACAACATGGGGGACAATATAGATCCCTGCAGGACCCCACAAGTCAAAGGTTGTGAGAGCGAGCAGGTGTCTCCCAGCAACACCTTCTGGGAACGACCCTCAAGGAAGGACTGGAGCCACTGTAGAACAGTACCCCCAAGTCCCATATCCCATACCCCAGAAAGATACCGTGGTCTACGGTATCGAAGGTCGCTGAGAGGTCCAACAGAACCAACAGGGACACACTCCTCCTGTCTTGTTCCCAGCGTAGATCATCTACTAAGGCGACCGAGGCTACCATGTCCTGACCTAAAGCCAGACTGTGCCGGAGTTAGATAATCAGTCTCTACCAAGAATCCCTGGAGTTGCGAGGTCACCACACATTCCAAGACTTTGCCCATGTAGTGCTTAACTCACAGGACTGCCTTCTCCCATATATTCTGACCCACACTTAGGTTCTCTGGGGGTATCTATTCCAGCCTGCCAGAACCTGACTGGTGAGCATCACCCAGAAAACCTTTTCATTGGCTGCCCCATGACTGTGGAACCACCTCCCAAAAGAGCTCCAACAGCTAAACAAGCTGTCAGAATTTAAGACTAAAATGAAGACCCATTTCAGGCCTACCAGACAAATTTCAATCATGAGTTTTGATTTACAGTCCTTTGCTACTATATGTCAATTCTGTATCAGTTTGGTACAAGTTTTTAAAAATATTTTTGTGTTTTTATTTATAATGTTCATATGTTTTTGACTTGCTGTACCCTGCCTCGAGCCATCAGGAGGCGGATGTTGTTGCTGCTGTTTATTCATTCAGTTGCTTCCGACTCTTTGTGACCTCATGGACTAGCCCACGCCAGAACTCCCTGTTGGCCGTAACCTCCCCCAGCTCCTTCAGAGTCAAGCCATTCACTTTAAGGATATCATCCATCCATCTTGCCCTTGGTCGGCCCCTTTTCCTTTTCCCCCAGCATCATTGTCTTCGCTAAGCTTTCCTTTCTTCTCATGATGTGGTCTCTACTATCCTTCCCTCCAATGAGCAGTTGGCCTTTATTTCCTGAAGTATGGACTGGTTGGATCTTCTCGCAGTCCAAAGCAGTCTCAGAACTTTCCTCCAACACCACAGTTCAAAAGCATCTATCTTTCTTTGCTCAGCCTTCCCTAAGGTCCAACTCTCACATCCGTAGGTTTCTACGGGGAATAACATTGCTTTGACTATGCGGATCTTTGTTGCCAGTGTGATTTCTATACACTTCACTATTTTATCGAGATTGGACATTACTCTCCTCCCAAGAAGTAAGCATCTTCTGATTTCTTGGCTGCAGTCTGCATTTGCAGGAATCTTTGCACCTAGAAATACAAAGTCTGTCAGTGCCTCCATGTTTTCTCCCTCTATATGCCAGTTATCAATCAGTCCGGTTGCCATAATCTTGAGCTTTTTATGTTTAACTGCAAACCAGCTTTTGCACTTTCTTCTTTCACCTTGGTTAGAAGGCTCCTCAGCTCCTCCTCACTTTCAACCATCAAAGTGGTATCATCTGCAGTTGTTAATGTTTCTTCCAGCAATTTTCACCCCAGCCTTACATCCATCAAGCCCCGCACATCGCATGATGTGTTCTGCATACAAGTTGAATAGGTTGGGTGAGAGTATACAACCCTGCCGTATGCCTTTCCCAATCTTGAACCAGTCAGTTGTTCCATGGTCAGTTCTTACTGTTGCTATTTGGTCCTTATACAGATTCCTCAGGAGAGAGACAAGGTGATTTGGCATGCCCATACCACCAAGAACTTGCCACAATTTATTATGATCCACACAGTCAAATGCTTTAGAATAGTCCAGTGTTTCTCAACCTGTGGGTCCCCAGATGTTTTGGCCTTCAACTCCCAGAAATCCGAACAGCTGGTAAACTAGCTGGGATTTCTGGGAGTTGTAGGCCAAAACACCTGGGGATCCACAGGTTGAGAAACGCTGGAATAGCCAATAAAGAAAGTAAATCCTATTAAATTCATGGGGTCGCCACAAGATGGCAGGCGACTTGAAGGCAGATGCACTGGCCCTTGCCTTTGGGTCTGCATTTCTGAATCAGGGTACATTGATAGAGTTTGGCATTGATAGAGTTGGGATTGGTAGTTTGGGGAAGCATAACCCCCCCCCCCCTATTTGTCAAACCGCAAATCCTATGATTCCACAGCGCTGAGTCATGGCAGTATCAACCTACATTAATTCTACCGTTTGCTTCCCAGCACCACATACTCTGTCTCGCCCGTGAGGAGGCCCTCCCCACAAGCACAGCTACGTCATCGTTGCCTCTGAGACTCGACAAAGCAGGCTTTCAGGACGGGCGGCCACTTCCAACACCCCCGCCAACAGCTTTGAGCACCCCCCTCCCCCAATTACGAAACGACATTATTTCCCACCCTTCTCTCCCTATTAAGTAATAAAAGAGTACCTCAGTTTCAATTGCTGACTGGAAATAGAGTGCGAAGAAACTACTTCCTTCTTACCCAAAACATCCGGCGCGGATTGATGCCGTCACGACACCGGCTTGAGCTGTTTAGACGGAGGCTAGTATCAGGAAGACCGCCCTATTTTGAATATTCTCGCGAGAGTACCGGGCATCGCCTTAAGCATTGATATCCCAGCAGCAAAAGGATCTCCCTGTAAGGCATATTATCGCGAGAGTTCCAAGCGAGTGGTTGTGGTAACAGTGGCAGCGAGTGAAGCGGTAGTAGGGTAGGCGTCGCAGCTCATGGCTTAGTTGGGGAGGGGAGGGGAGGGGAGGGGAGGGGAGGGGCGGGGCCTTGGGACATGCGCGTGCGCAGTCGCGTCCCGTCAGTTGGCGGGGGGAAGCCGCGCGTCTGTTTGCCTGCAGTTTGCAGGTTGGGCCTCGTCGCTGTCAGTTGATGTCTTTCTCCTTCGCCGGGCCTATCAGTGTGTAGAGCTAAATAAGTGGGGAGTGTTAGCTTATTTCTCCATGACTGGACTGTCAAGAGGACCAGAGGACCAAACAGACTTACTTTAAAAGAGAAAAAGGTGGAGTGCCAGATATTTTTGTTGGTTTCTTTTCCCTATACAGCATAAGCAGTGTGAGAAAGGTTCAGGCTTCTTCTGGCTGCTGTTTACAACCACACTTCCCAGAGCTTTGCTTGTTTAATGATCTTATTCACAGAAAAAATGTCTAAAAGGTGGGATAGGGAAGTTATTATGTTCAAGAACCAAAGATTCCTTGTGTCTCACCCTTCAGGCAACATGGCTCATAAATTATTGCAATCTAAACCAGGCATGGGCGAACTTGGGTTGTCCAGGTGTTTTGGACTTCAGCTCCCACAATTCCTCATGGCCTCAGGCCCCTTCCTTTTCTCCCTCAGCCGCATAAGCATAAGCGGCTGAGGGAGAAAAGGAAGGGGCCTGAGGCCCTGAGGAATTGTGGGAGCTGAAGTCCAAAACACCTGGACGGCCCAAGTTTGTCCATTTACTTTTATATTTAGTTTTATATCCTGCCCTCTCTCCCTCACAGAGGGACTTAAAACACTTAATGCTCTGCATCAATTTGATGCCATTCAAAGTATTCCTTGGTTGAAGCTCCAGTTTCTAATAGGGCCCACTATTCCATGTATCCACGCAAAGTCCAGGAAGTACGTATTCCCTGCAATACAAAAGCTGTATTACAGTTATTGTTGATTCATTCAGTTGACTCTTCGTGACCTCATGGATCAGCCCACACCAGAGCTCCCACTTCGGCTGTCACCACCGCCATCTCCTTCAAAGTCAAGCCAGTCACTTCAAGGATACCATCCATCCATCTTGTCCGAACGCATCTGCCCCTATGTCCCACCTCGCAATTTAAGATCATCTGGGGAGGCCCTGCTCTCGCTCCCGTCAACAGCGTAAATGCGGCTGGCGGGGACGAGGAGCAGGGCCTTCTCGGCTGTGGCCCTCCGCCTATGGAACACACTCCCAAAGGAGGTAAGATCTGCTCCCTTGCTCCTGACCTTTAGAAAAAAATTAAAATCATGGTTCTGGACCAGGCCTTCAGACAATAGATGTATGCAGCTTTTAGTGGAACAAGGACTGGAATGGTGACTCAACTGATGAGATTGTTTTATGGTTTTAATACTTGTCTGCTAGTAAGCTGCTCTGAATTCCCTTCAGGTTGAGAAGGGCAGGATAAAAATATAGCAAGTAAATAGATAAATACTAGTTGGCAACTTTCTTCTCTTTTTTTGGAAAATATTGGCTTCTATGCCAGTTTCTTCTCTTCCCCAAATATGACTGATGATTAATGTTCTGTTAATCAATCATTAGATGGATTTAGTGCATGCTGCAAAACGTTTTTCTATGTTACATTCAAAGACACTCTTCCAAGCCAGCTATTTCTAGTTTTGTATTTATCACAATGATTTAATACTGACTGCTGTGTGAGACATGAAAAATTAACCCTGTCTGACATTATTCATTATGTACTACTTGGATCTACATTTTTGCATGACAGTAGAAGATAAAATAGCTGGCAGAGTCTCTGTTGTCAAATACTGAAGGTCGGCAGTTGAAATCTGTGAGATGGGTTGAGCTCCCATTTGTCAGCCCCAGCTTCCCATGCGGGAACGTGAGAAGCCTCCCACAGGATGGTAATACATCTGAGCATCCCCTGGGCAACATCTTTGTAGACAGCCGATTCTCTTACATCAGAATCGACTTGCAGTATGTTATCAATTCGCTTCTGACACGATAAAAAAAAGTTTTGGGGAATAATAATTTTGTTTTGTAATGTTTTCAGATCCTGATGTCTGCAAACGAGTCTAAGGTTCTATCACAAGATGAACTCCGGAAAAGGCTGTACCAGACATTTAAGAACCGAGGCATCCTGGACACACTCAAGGTTTTTTAAAAATTCTACATGATAAAAATCATAGTAAACTTAGTTTTAAATATTTGTAGAATTAAATATTTCACTTCAAAGTTATTTGAAGATAAACCAGTGTTAAATGGGCGTGTGTATGCAGTAATAATAATGGAATGTGGAGCTCTGTAAATGTTATACAGACCTGATTCTAAGCAGTTCAAAATAAATATATGCATTTTTATAGTACATCATCAGTAAAGTGTATGTAATTAGTTGGGGAATAGACTTTAATTTTGTTCATGGGAATGTTTACTATTTCCTGTTCAAAATTGGTTTGAATCATAGAATTGGAAGGGATCACAAGGACCATTCAGTTTAACCCCCTTCTGCTATACAGGAAAACACAATAAAAACACTCTCAACATATGGCCAAACAGCCTCTGCTTAAAAACTGTAGAGGAGACTCCACTAGACTACAAGGAGGCAGTACCCTGCCGTACAGCTCTTACTGTCAGGAAGTCCTTCCTAATATTATGGTGGAATCTTTTTTAAAGACAGTTGTGTATTTTATATTTATTATTATTATTAACTTTATTTGTACCTCACTTTCTCTCCATGGGTACTCAAGGCGGGTAACAGTCCAGCAGATTAACAATGTAACACTGTTGCATGTGGTATTACAGAATTTGTCATCTGCCAGATCAGAGGATCTTTCTATACATTTTGAGAATAAGAAACCATTATTATTATTATTATTATTATTATTATTATTATTATTATTATATTTATATCCCACTTTATCTCTCCCGAAGGGGACTCAAAGTGACTATTGAAAGTGGGCTGTGAACTTGATAAAAATACAGTCTTTTTGTATTGCTGTTTAACTCTTCTTCTTCTTATTATTATTATTAATATTTATATCTTGCCACATCTTCCCGAAGGGACTCGGTAGCAATCTTAGATTTAGGTTTAATGGCTAACATTACAGAAAATGTAATTTTTTTCTATTTAATGTTTTTGCCCTACTCTGTTAGAAGGCATCCCAAAAATGATACTATTTTTCTGTTTTCTAGACACAGCTACGAAACCAACTCATACATGAATTAATGAATCCAGTTTTAAGTGGAGAAATTCAACCTCAAGCTGTTTCTCATGAGTGCAGTTCACTGATAATTGGTGCTTCAAACAGTTTGGTGGCAGATCACCTCCGTAGATGTGGCTATGAATATTCACTTTCTGTCTTCTATCCAGAAAGCGGACTAGAAAAAGATAAGGTAAGTTTTTTCCCTGTTCTGAAGGACATGTGAAATTAAGCTCCTTACTTAGCATGCTTTTAACTCAGTATTATCTAAAGCAATCTAACTGTTTACTGAAGCATACAGCTGTGTGTTGTTTGTAGCAATATTCACCCCTTTTTGGATCTGAACCCCATCTTTTGCCAAAAGATTCATCTGTCGTCCCTCCTCTTCCATTAATCTTATATTGATATGGTACTGTTGCTGGTGCAATCAATCACAGCTCTATTATAGAATGATGTGTATATATAAAATAATAGCTACAAGAAGGGGATAATGTGCTGTGATGCCACTGGAAGATCTGAAAGGCAGGAATGAGGGAAGGTTAGATGCTACATATCCTGTAGGATGATGTGTGTGAGAGAGAGCTAGACAGCAAACTCTGTGAAATGTTCAAGTTACAAAAGATCTGATATGTTTTATTATGACAATTTGGGGGGGGGGGGGAATGGTCAGGTTAGATACCCATAGCAGTGAGGATCTGTGGTTGTTGATAAAGGAACTTTGGGCAATAGAAGAAAGAAAATAAATGGAGGGAGGGAACACTGTCTTCTGTTTACTAAAAGTGATGGGAGCTGTTCAATAACATTTGGAGACCCAAACTTGGTGAATTCTAAAGAGCACCGACCACTGTGTATATGTGTGTGTGTGTATAGAGAGGAATGGCCCTCTGTATCCATGGATTCAACGACCCTTTGAAAGCAACCATAAGGCTGATGCGGCCCTCGATGAAAATGAGTTTGACACCTGCTCTAGCCCATAACTTTTTTTACATTGTGAATGTATATTGAAGGTATTTCTTTATTTACTTACACAGCTGCTTACAATGGAAGACTTGCTGCAATTGATCAGGATCAATCCAAAAACTGACCTCTATAAAACACTGGTAAAATCTTATTTCTAATCTTATTTCTGTAGGACATTTATGTAACAAGTTAAATGAATAAAAGTTTGAATGAAATTGTTTTGTAATTACAGGTTTCTGCTTCAAAAAAGGATTATACAAAAGGTATGGCAGTAATATAAATAAGTTTACAAATACTGAAAATGTAGTTCTTGATCCATAGTACCATTTATTTTATGAATGAATAGATTTGATTTTATTTTAAATGAATAGATTTCTGGGGTTAAAATAAAACTTCTAAGATGGCTTTGTAATATCTAGTGTTAACATTGTCTAACAAACTGCTTCTGAAACTATGGGTCCCAATGTTGGGGTTGCAAAAAACAAAAAACAAAAAAACAACCCAAAACCTGGCAACATTACAAGGTTTCTGAATGTCTCCCATTTACACAAATCTGTTAGCAGCAGCTTACAGTATTTGCAGTAAACTTTACAGAAGATGTTTCAGCTGTACTCCAAAAAAGGGAAGATCAGCCTATTTAGCAAGTCTTGCAAATGCTGATTTGTTAACAGTAAAATGTTTGATTTTTTAAAATTAATTTTTATTTAGACTAATTAGTACAAAACCTATATACCAAGTTACAAACAACCAAAATGTTAAAAATATTTTTTCTAGCGTAAAGGAAAACATATTATTACATTATGTGCATCAGAAAACATTAACATACCATCTACATTATTGAATCTATGGGTTTTACATTCTCTGATGGATATATTCTCTCAATTTTCTACACCCATTAAATGAAAAAGAACCAATGATCTTTTCCCCACATAATAAGACTCTTCTAGAAAAAAAGTGATGGAGGTTGACCCTGTCTTTGTCGAAGCAAAATGTTTGATTTTATACCTATTTTATATATATGTAAAAATTTATTAGGCCAGAAGGGGCCCCAAATGGAAAGGTTTAAGAATCCCTGATCTAACACCTCAATTTTGTATGAGTTAATGAGCACAGTGTGAGGGAGTAGCATTTCAGGAGTTCAATAGATTAAAGATAATACCTGTATGTCCTTGAGTCTAATGCACCATCGAATTTAAAGTATTGGCTGCCGAATGTAATTCACAGTGGCAAAAGATGTGCTCTTTGTAATTTGACCAAAAAAGGTGTGCATTACAGTTGCTACCTGCTCAATGTCATGGAATCATGGGGCCTGTAGTTTGAGCCTTCTCTGCCAAAGAATCCTGGTGCCTCAACAAAATACAAATCCCAGGATAGCATAGCATTGAATAGCTCCTGAAGCAGCTTTCCTTTGCTTTGGCCCAGCACAAAGATTACTGTACGGCACAAATCTAATGCACACCCCAATTTTGGCAAGATCATTTAGCCAAAAACATTGAGCATTAGACTCGAATAAAAACAGTATTAAAATGTGCTTGTCAATACACTGTATGAATAGTGTGGAGGGTGGATTTTTTGTTTGTTTACATTTCCACTCTACCACATGCTGTTGTATGGTCAAGTTTATTCGAAGAGATGTAAAAGTTTTTTGTAACTGAGATAATATATTCTTAAAAGATCCTTTCTCTTGAGACTTGTTGAACTTCTACTTGCTCATTGACACAGTGTAACTGTTGCAAAATGGCTGATGTCAAATTTGAAAACATCACTTGTCGCTGCAGAAATACATTATTAATACTGCTTTTCTAAGGCTTTCTTATACAGATTTTGACAGAGTTGACAGAACATAACTTAAATAAGGAGAACTGTAGCATAGGAACTCAGACAAGTCCATTGCCTGGTAAAGAATCTCTTGGTAAGTGAAGTTTTAGCCACATGTTCACCTTTCAATGTTTGTATCCATCTTTAATAATAGATTATGTTTTGGAGCTGGTTTTTTTTATACTATTTGTTTTAGTTCACTAATTACTACATGTGTACACATGCAATCTATATCCATGGTTCATAGATTGAACAGCTATAATTTAAAAATGTTTTTAAAAAAAAAAAACCTCAAAAGCCCTTCTTAATTTTGCAGCATCCTGGGCACTATATAGGCGTACTCTGGTGTAGTCTCCTCCCATTTCAGAGATCCTCAGGCTATTTCCAGCATTTGTTTGAGTTGTTTTCCATTTTATATTAGGAAATAGTATACCATTTTATTATGCTATTGTATATAATGGGACTTAAGTATATACAGAGCATCTCGGAACCAAACCTCCGTAAATATCAAGGCTCCACTGTAATTTTAGTGTTGGAGAAACACTTGTTGGTAGGAAAAGGTACTTGCTAAACTCCAGTGTGGTTCACTATGACTATAAGCAAATGCAAGAATCCACCCTTATTTCATCACCACATCATTATTAATTTTATTTGACAGAAAATATTATTGACGGTAGTGTGCTTCTTGTGTATTGTTTCTATGAAAGATTGGTATTATGTAAGTACTTACAAATGCAGGATAAATATGAGAGGTATGCTAATCCCCACCCCTAGAAATAGCCAGTTACATACTGGCAAGATTCTAAAGGTGTCCCTCTCAGACCAAGGCTGTTCTCAATTCTTCTGGTTTCCAACAATTGGCTTTCTTGATTGCTCACTACCATATCCTGTTCATATATGCAGGCAGAACATCACTTCATAGGATAGGAAATAAGTACAGAGATGATTCGACTTAATAGACAGAGCAGAAGCAAATGCAAAGAAGCCAGAAAAAATAGGAATTAGTTAGAGACAAATGCTGGTATATAGTGAGCTAGAAATAGCTCAATAAACAAATTCTGTTTTCTTTATTTGTATACTAAGAGAAAAGCAGGGTATAAATGTAATTAATGAATTTTTACAGCTGAAAAACTTCAACTAATTGATGAACAGTTTGCAGACCTGTATCCTCAGCGCCACATATCTGAATCCTTTCAAGTAAAACTTGCTGAATACAGAAAAGAAATAGAACAGCAGCATCACGCAGAAATGGCTCAAAAGGTAAGAAGGATTATTTACGTAATAGCAAAAACTACCTAGTTTTCCACGAGATTTCGTTTTTATATTATTAATAATAATATACTTTTTCTCTGTAAAAAAGAGCCTCAAAGTGACTTACAATGAAACAAATACAATACACCTAAAATATGCAAACATTAAAATGGAATTAAATATGAATTATATTTTTTAAAAAACAGTTTAAACCCTTAAAATTACAAACCTATTTGTAGCTAAAACCACAGTACCCCAACTTGTTCTTTAACATTTCCTTCTTTAAAAGCTTGCCTGAGTTAAAAGGTTTTAGGTTGCAGACGAATGGATAACAGGGAGGGGGCTGTTCAGGCTTCCCTGGGCAGGGAGTTCCAGAGTCTTTATTTCCCAATTCGAAAGTGGACAGCCCACACAAAACACGTAGAAGGGGGCAAATGTGAACAAATGGCTACATAGTGGGTTTCTGTAATACAGAGGGAACAGCATTTTGGGAGTTGGTTGGGCCCTCTGGAATTCTGAAAGTGAGTTTTAAAGGCTATTTTAAGTGAATTTATTGTATTTTAAAGTGTTTTTAATACACTGTTGCTATTTAATTTTTTTAACTTTTGTATTGCACTTTTTAAACTTGAGTAAGTGTGGGATTGAGTAAGTTCCCATGGGGAGAAAGGCAGGTTATAAAGATAATAATAATAATAATAATAATAATAATAATAATCAGAATGCTGCCCTCAGGCCAAATAGAGAATGAAGTTAAAAGATAAGAGGAAGAACAAGAGAAACATTTGAGGTTTTAAGTGAGCAGACAGAAGTTGCAGCATTTTAAATTTAATTTCATATTATACTAATCCAACCCCCAAATAAACTGCAACATTACAGAAACAAATCAGCTAACAAAAACACAAGACAACAGTATTTCTTTTAAAAATATTATATTATTGTGTGTGTGTGTATGTGTGTGTGTATATGTATGTATATGTATATGTATATATACACAATCCAAAACAAAAACAAAGTAATGCATACAAAAATGCAAGCATACAAAAAATAATCTAACAAAGCAATATACAGCAAACACTTGTAGAACATTCAAAAACAGATATTAGCTGTACAGTTATCATACCTTAACATGTCCTTACCCCTCTAACCCCACACCTGTGAACCTATCGTCCTTGACCTCTGACACCACTTGATGTGGATCACATAACTAACCAGCAACTACCTTTATATCTTCTTTCAATAGATCCCCTTTGCGGCAATCTTCAAATCTACCATTGTCTTCTTTTCCAGATAACCAAGTTCCAGCCTCCATTTGTTTGCAAATTCTTCATTATTTCCTAGTCTACTAATATTTGTCAGCCTGGCCATTTGGATATAATCTAATAATTTGGCTCTCCAATCTTTACTAGTTACCTCTTTTTCCCTCTTCCATGTCTTGCCTCACCAAAGCAGTATTGACAGATTTATGCATCTCCTGCACTCATATTCCTTCTAAATAATCCTAATAGACACATTTTCAGGTTTTTCTTGACCTTTTTGGTTATCATGTTTGTTTCTTTCACCACCTTTTTCCAGAATTTTTGAACTATGTTACAGATTCACTGTGAAGTCTCGGCCTAGTTTTTACCCCTCTGTTTGTTCCCTGTAGTTGGACTGTTCCATTCTGCCAAGTTTTAGAGTAGGATCCCTCTATAGGCCAAGCTCTGTTAGTACAGCCCATTCTGGCTCAGAGCTTGGCAGAAAGACTTTTTGCTCCATTCTTCTTTTGGACATAGTTTTTAGTAGTTAGCCAGAACGTGTCTGGTCTGGCTTATCAGTCTGAACAGGCCATCCTTAGCACATAAATGCCATAGAATCGACCAATATTTGCCTCATAGAATAGCTATATTTGCCATATAGATTAGAATATATTTGCCTTATAGATTACATAGTACATATACATGCCCCAGAGTTCATAGATAGTACATGCCACATAGAACTTAGAGTTTATATCATTATAGAATATATTTGCCTTAGAGTCTATAGATTATAGTATATGTTATAAAGAATAGTTGTATTTACCTCATAGAATATAGTTGTATTTACCTCAGAGTTATACCTTATACCTGTTTCCTTATTTTTCTAATTCTATACCATCATAATCAAACTGCACCTTTGTATACCTTGTTTTGATTCATCTTGATTGTTTAGTAAACTTAATTGGTGAATTTTAGTCTCGTCTCTAGAGTTTTATTTTGGAGGTATTAAAGTATATTTAGGGAAAACGGGGGACATGAGAGAAGCCTCCTCGCAGGATTGCAAGACATCCGGGCGTCCCCTGGGCAACGTCTTCGTAGACGGCTGATTCTCTCGATCCAGAAGCAACCAGAGACGACTTGCAGCATGCAAACAAGCAAGCAAAACAACCAACGGCCCTTTCAGGACCAACCATGACAATAATCTCAATCAACATCGAAGGCATGTCAGCTGCCAAAGAACAACTGCTCTATGAACTGTGCTGAGATAAGAAATGTGACGTGCTCTGTGTCCAAGAAACACACAGGGATGAACGACAGAAATGACCCAAAGTTCCAGGAATGATCCTAGTAGCGGAAAGACCACATGCGCAGTATGGAAGCGCTGTCTTTGTCAAACCAGGCCTCCAAGTCAGCAGTGCCCACAATACTGAAGAAAACAATATCGAGGTTCTAACAGTAGAGCTTAATAATATCACCATCACCTCTGTGTACAAGCCCCCAAATGAAGAGTTCTGCTTCTCCTCCCCCGAGAACTTTGACAGACACCAAAGGGCGGTAGTAATTGGGGACTTCAACAGCCATAGTCACGTATGGGGCTATGCTCAAGAGGATAAAAATGGAGAGGCTGTCCTGTCCTGGTCTGAACTGCACAAACTATCACTCATCCATGATAGCAAGCTCCCACCATCCTACAACAGCGGGAAATGGCACCGAGGTTATAACCCAGACCTCTTATTTGTGAGCGACAGCAATGCACTAAATCAGTGGGACCACCAATTCCAAACACACAGCACCGACCAATAATATGCAACTGTTCCCAACAATAAGGCCTCAAGAAGTTCGATTTAAACGAAGATACAACTTCAGAAAGGCAGATTGGACTAAATTCTCAGACATGTTAGATGACATGATCACATCGGTCGCGCCAATCCCTGAGGAATACGAGCATTTTATTGAAATAGTGAAAACCTGCTCACGGGCCTCCATACTGAGAGGCTGCAGAACCAACTACCTTCAGGGCATTACTCCTGAAACAGCTGCCTTGTTGGAAAACTATTTAAGGCTCCACAACGAAGACCCATTTAGTGAGCAAACCCTTTAGGCAGCGCAGAGCATTGTGTCCTCCATCTCTGAAGCCAAGAAAGAACAGTGGATCAAGTTGATCACAGAGGTCGACATGGACAGGAGCAGCCAGAAGGCGTGGAGGCTGCTGAGACGGCTGAGCAACGACCCCTCACAAACTAATACCCTTGCCAACATAAAGGCAGATCAGATAGCACACCAACTCCTGAAGAATGGGAAACCCAACTTTGCCACCAAAGTAGGAAAGAAACTAATAGCCAGACAACCAGAGATTGAGAACAACAACCTCCATGAACCTTTTACATCTACTGAATTGGACATGGCTCTCAACAAATGTAAGAATGGCAAAGCAGCTGGCTTGGATGATCTACGGATGGAACAAATCAAGAACTTTGGTCCAAAAGCAAGGCGCTGGCTGCTGAGCTGATGAACAACTGCACTGCATCCTGTCAGATCCCCAAAACCTGGAAGAAAGCAAGAGTCATCGCCATCTTGAAGCCAGGCAAAGACCGTAATGACCCAAAAAGCTATAGACCAATCTCCCTGTTGTGCCACCTCTACAAAGTTCTGGAGAGACTTATTTTGCATAGAATTATGGAAAATATAGACCCCTGTCTGATTCCACAGCAAGCTGGCTTCAGAAAAGGCAAAAGCTGCACATCGCAAGTGCTGAACCTGACTCAGCACATAGAAGATGGCTTTGAAAGGCAGCAGATCACAGGAGCTGTCTTCATAGACTTGTCAGCAGCCTATGATACTGTGAACCACTGCCTCCTCCTGAGAAAAATGTATAATATCACAAAGGACTACCACCTCACCCGCCTCATAGGAAACCTGCTACAAAACAGGAGCTTTTTTGTTGAGTTCCAGGGCCAGAGAAGCAGATGGCGAAAACAGAAGAACGGCCTGCCTCAGGGGAGCGTGCTTGCTCCATCCATGTTCAACATTTACACAAATGACCAGCCACTGCCAGAAGGGACAGACAGCTTCATCTATGCTGATGATCATGCCATCACCGCTCAAGCAGGGAGCTTTGAGATGGTTGAACAGAAGCTCTCCGAAGATCTAGGTGCTCTGACTGCCTATTACGGGGGAAACCAGCTGATCCCTAACTCATCTAAAACACAGACACGCTCCTTTCACCTTAAGAACAGACAAGCATCCCGAGCTCTGAGGATTACCTGGGAAGGGATCCCACTGGAGCATTGCAACACACCCAAATACCTGGGAGTCACTTTGGACCGTGCTCTGACCTACAAGAAGCACTGCCTAAACATCAAGCAAAAAGTGGGCGCTAGAAACAACATCATACGAAAGCTGACTGGCACAACCTGGGGATCAGGTTTGTGCCTTCTTCATATTCACCATATGTGGAAAAAAGATCCTTTCGGCCTTCTACACCTCCAGCAAGCCCTTCATCCTGTTTCTCTATTTTGGCCAAGAACTCTGGAGTTATATAATTTCTATAAAACATTTTAAATATATTTTCCCTAATTGAACTGGCCATTGAAAATTTAAACTGCTTTTTCAAAAGGTGTTCCCAGTCCTCCAAATGAGTATTTCTTCCTGAGTACTAAATCATAACCGTTTTTATTCTGTTGTCTTCTAAATTATATTTCATGAAATCCACAAAAGATATTAAGTACCAAATGTATTAGAACCTCTCCAACAAAACCAGGGTTGCATTAGAATAATTTGCAGTTGCACATTGTTATATTGGTGGGAACCTGCTAGCTGCTGACTAGCAACATCCAGTCGGAAGTGATTTAAATTATTGACTTGACAAAGATGAAATGTACATTTCTTTTGTTTTAAACAGTTAGAGCACTTCAGAGAGGTTGAAATAGCCAAAATTAAAATGGATGAGAGAGCGCGATCTCAGAAAGAAATTTCCGAACTTCGTCGAGAGCTTGAGAAAGATCACCAGGCCAAGTCAGAGGCTCTGAGTTCTCGAGAGAGAAATGCTATTGAGAGACTTCAAAAACAGCAAGAGGTAACTTTTGAAAAATGAACGTGAATATAGGGTGCCTTGGATGTAGTGGTCATGTTGATACCAAACTGGATGTATTCTGGATAAATTACTGTTATTTATGTTTCCAACAAATTGCACAACTTGAACTGATCATTTGTTTTTCATTATGTGGATGGAGCCAATAGTATTTGCTTGTATTGAGTAAGAGAGTATAAGATCCAGTATTTGAAAAAGTGTGTGGGAAGGGACTTTGTTCTCCATGCTTTACTATTTTTCTTTCACTCACTCCTTTAAAAGGTTCACAGTGTATAATTTTATATTAAATTGTCTTCTGGTGTATATATAGTTCAGGGGTCTAAGGCTTGTGGACCGGATATGGCTCTTTGAGGTCATTTACCTGTCTCCCACTCAAATCTTTAGACTTAGGGTCGCCCTAAGTCTGAAACGACTTGAAGGTACACAACAACAGCAGTCCTTATTAACTTGACTATCTCATCAGCCAAAAGCAGGCTATATTTCCCAGTGAAATACTGGTAAGTTTATGTTGGTTAAAACTGTTCTTCATTTTAAATATTGCATTGTTCTATTATGGGGGGTTTTTTTTGGCATTACAAATAAGAAATGTGCAGTGTACTTTGGAATTATTTCATGTTTTTTTCAAACCATAGTTCCCCCCCACCCCCTCCAAAAGTCTGAAGGACTGTGAACCAGCCCTCTGCTTAAAAAAGTTTGAGGACTCCTGATATAGTTGAATGGTGGGCAGTACTATGTTTATGCAGGCTGGATTGTGTAACTTTTAGGCAAAATATATGCTATCTTCCTCTAACCTTTTACCCGAGATAATTCTATACTTTGTAGTAATTTATCAGCAAACTGACTGTTGTTGCGAGCCTGGCAGATACAGGTAATTTAAACCAGGGCTTCTTAAACTTTGGTCCCAACCCCAAATGGGATGCCCTTAGCTCAGTGTTGGTGTCCCAAAATAAATTCTGAACATTACCTAGTGACTGTTTTAGACTCTTACATGAACCTATTGTGCAGTGTTTACAGTGGACTCTACAGATGATGCTTCAGATGTACTTAAAAAAACAAAGAAAATTAGTCTGTTTATCAAGCTTTGCAAATGCTGATTTTTATCGGTAAATGTTATAGTTTTATACCTATTTTAAATAGCAATATACCTGATGTCAGACAAAAAAAAATTCAGGTCATAAGGGGTCTTGGATGGAAAAGTTCAAGAAGATCTGATTTAAACTACTGCAAATAGCTGCCTGATTGTTTGCAATCCATATATTTAATATTGGTGCCACTTTTCAGGTATTGTATAATAGAAAGTGGTTTTTTCCCCCTAATAGATAGATGCCAGAGAAATTTATCTGCAAAGGCAAAGCCTACTGAAAGATATTGAAACCATTAGAACCCGAGAGGCAGAACTGAAGCAGAGAATGGAAACTTTGGAGCTGTAAGTTGCTAGGCATTATTCATGATACTATTTGTCTTGGAAAATGTTTTCTAAGCTTTTAAAACATTATAATTTGTGTGAAACTGCATCGAGAATTTTTTTACTTAGGTAGAAATATTAAACACACAGGAAGGGCAACTATTTGATTCTGCAGACTTTCCTATCCATGTTTTAGGAGTCAAAATCGGCTGTGAAAGCTTTTTGGTATAGTAGCAGAAATCTCTGTTTCTGTCATCATAGTGAACAGGATGATCAGTGATGTATGCCACAGGAGGCAGTAGTTCTGTTGGTTATGAAGTTCCCTCTTTCAATACCTACCTCTCCCATAAGTCCTCTGCCATACAGAGTGCGTACTTTTCCTCTTATTGATTTCAGTGACAGGATAGTTTTTAACAGACTTCTACCTTGGGAGACATTTCAACAGGGATTAAGAAGACCTGGTTTCTCTTCTATAGAAATAGAAAGTACCACCGTAGGAGTATTGTTCTGATTGTTCTGATCCAAGGAGCAAGATTATTTCCTTCTAAGGGGAAGGTTTATGGTGCTTCTTCAAAAGATCTGCATTAAGTGATAAAATTTGCAACTGGGGAGTAACTGGTGAGAAGTACATGTTAATACAATTTTACTGTTAACCCTGTTTCATATTTAACGGAATATAAGGCAATGTACTGTATTACTAAAGCAACATTACTTTGCACTCTTCCAATAATCTCTAATGCAATTTTGAGGTTGATTTTTTACTTTTCTCAGTCCCTTTTTAGTATGACATCATAAAAAACAATTTCTCTGATAACCCAGAAGAGGGAGCTGCTGAACCTCTGAAATAGAGGAATAAGCTTTATATTTCCTTGTAATCCATTTATCATCACCACTTCTTGTCTTAAGTAAAGGATTCCTAAGAAATACATCCTAAAGATTTTGTGTATTGGTAGCTTATCCCTCTTTAGTAGGATATGGAAGAAAAGATCCAATGGTCTAGCTAGGCTTGTGATATTTCTACTTTAGATGTTTACTTCAGAAATAGGTAGAAAAAAATCTTAGTTGGGTACAGTGGTTGAGTCCATTTCTCAACAGAGGCAGTGGCCTCAAAACTCATTCATGTATCAGAGAAACAACGTCCATTGGAAGACTATCCTCTGCCTCCTTGGAAGAATAACATAGCAAAAATCAGTCCAGTGTGCTCTTTGGCAAAGAGGAGGCAGCTATAGGAAGTTGCTTTGTCCATTGCTACAGAAAGTATAGTAAGATTTTTTATAACTTTGCTGCCTGGCTTATTTTTCCTCCTCTTTTTCAAGCCTGTAGGTTGCAAAGAGATGCTTCGTTCTCCTTGCCTGCCACCAACTCCAAGCCAAAACTCTACACAATTAAAGTGAATTGAAAGATTTAAAAATCTAATTTTTTGTGGGAGGGATAGACTATAATATATTGTTGAAGGCCCACTTATTATTTTGATGTCCATCTTTTCTATGCTTTTGTTGCCCATTTTTGCTTTGTTGTGGCTTCTTATGGTATTTTTTCTTCTATTTCACCAGAGCTCAAAAGCTCCAAGAATCAAAAAATAAAACTGTTGAAGAAGCGCTTCATCGTCGTGAAATGGCTGTGAAGAATATTGAGGAGACTTATGAACAGAAGCTCAAGAATGAACTCCTCAAGTAATTGTTTCTACCATCTGTAGATAGGAAAGCAGTCCCATTGTGAAGACCCATGGCACATTTTCATGAAGGGAACATTAAATGAGGATTTTTAAATGCTAGGGAGGATCTGAAAGTGGAAGTGATGTATGAAATTAGGATGTTTGTGTTTCTTGGCTACTTTTGTGAACAGAATAATAGAAAAACCAAGACTGTTTTTTTTTCTTTACTGCAAATTACCTGAGACCTTGCTGGGGATGGGACACTATTTTTAGGGATTCAGATTTTAATGCATTTTGTTAGTAAATATAAGAAGGCTTAAACTCATATTAAAACATCTCTCTCCAGTTAGCTAGGCATGATTAAGAGTAATGGCTGTCAAAGATACCAGATGCTATTGCTCCTTTATTTTGTGTCAGATCTAATGGAATGGGAATTTAGTATAATTCTGAGTATATGCAGATGGAAATCTCACTGGCTTTAGTGGGAATTTCTTTATTTATTGCACCACTTGCATACTGCCCTATAACAAAGTCCTCTGGACAGTTTAAGAAGTTTAGAAAACCAAGTAAAACATGTGTTGTTGAAGGCTTTCATGGCTGGAATCAAGGGATTGCTGTGAGTTTTCCAGGCTATAGGACCATGTTCCAGAAGCATTCTCTCCTGACGTTTCACCCACATCTATGGCAGGCATCCTTAGAAGTTGTGAGGTCTTCTCACAACCTCTGAATATGCCTACCATAGATGTGGGCGAAACATCAGGAGAGAATGCTTCTGGAACATAGCCATACAGCCCGGAAAACGCACAGCAATGCAAAGTAAAATATGTTTAAAACAAAGTTTAAAATATACAAGTGCATAAATGGCAATCCAGAACTGAACCATAGATTTTGAACAAAGGGGCCCAACTACATGAGTTGTTGGTGATGAAAACACTACAAAGCTGGTGTCAAATGGTTAACTAATGTAATAGAACAGGTGTTACACCCAAAATGAAGTTACCACGGTTCTCCTTGTGCAGTAAAATCTTTAGTTGAAGTTGACAATGTTTTGTTGACACCATTGACTATACATTTCAGAAATATTCATTGGCCAGAATACTGTGTGTTAAATTCTTTTAAAAATTATTTCTGGTTTGAGTTTATTACTACAATAGAAATCAGTATTACAAATAAAATCTGCATGAGACCTTTTGAAAGTATGAGAAACTCCATACTTGCAGCAGTATTCACTCTCTCTTACTTTTGTGATAGTTTGTTTTCATATCTTTTTGCGCCAGAGGGAAAAAAAATTAAACACCTTTATAGTGTTTTGCTTACATTGACTACTAAAAGTGTCAGTTAAATTCATTTCCATTTTAGTTAAAGTACATTGCTATTGTAGCACATCAGAATGTGCTACAATGTGTGTGTGATTTTGTGTATATTGAACTATAGATTGTTGCAGTTCAGAGAAAGGTCCTTTTTGTTTAAAGCCTTAGAAAGATTCTGCATTGGCATTTTGATAAAATTACTTGTAGTGATTGGCAGCTAAGCAGATGGTTAATCAATTAAATATATTTTATAAACTGACAGCACTAAGACATTTATATTTCCAGGTATCAGCTTGAACTAAAAGAAGAATATCTACAAAGAACCAAAAAGATTGCTGAAGATGAGAGAAAACAGAAGGGTAATCTACATAGTTGTTTTTTAAAAAAACAAACAAACACAGATATTTGACATCCATGTATTATTTCAGAATACATCTAATTTAAAACTTCCTTTATTTCTGGCCAGACAAAGCAATGCTCTTACATGAAGAGACAATTTCTCTTAATTCAAAAAAGCAAGAATTTCAACAAACCATATCGCACATAAAAGATCTTGAGGTAATTGAAATTAAAATATCTGAATTGCTTTCACAATTTGGTGGGATAAACTATACAATTTGGGAGTATAATTTTTTTCAGACATTTAGTAAGTTGTCTTATGTCCTGTTCATGTATTTCCAGCTGGAATTGGATTCAATCAAGGCTGAACTGTTGTTACTAAGTAAACAAAATCAGTTGCTGACAGGAAAACTGAAAGACTTTTCAGATTACCCCACATTAAAAGAAGAGAAAATGGAGCTTCAAGTGCAGAATACTCTACTTCAGCAACAGTTGGAGGAGGCATACAATGAAAACCTACAACTCAGAAACAGTTAGTATAAATCTTACAGTATAAATCTCTGGGAAGAGGCCATGCTTTCTAATGTGACTTGTTAGTTCGGGTATTGTTTCAAAATCTTGTGTACAGAATCTACTCATGAGATATTTAAAATTGAACTTTGATCTTGGGACAAGGGCAACATGAATGTTAATTTGGTTGTACTTAGCAGTAGGGAAGGCAATGCAAGAGTATTTGTAAATATGAAATGTCATATACATATATAGTTATCTCTATTTACAGAGCTAAGTCAGCCATCATCTGAATATGTGATCCTTCAGACAGAATTAAAAAGAGTAGAACATACTAGAAAACTTGAACAAGAGGAATCTGAAACTCACAAGCAGCTCTTGGAAAAACAGTTACAAAATGAGGTAAATTTTACAGTTGTGTAGATGTCTATACTAGTCATTGTATAAATTGTTTAAAAATGTTTATAGTGTAAAACTGAAAGAAGTATAAGCCTATGCATTCTATTTTCCTTAATCAAAAATAGAGGTTAAAAGTAATATAAATTTGATGATGATATGGAACAATATGATTGTATTTCTAAGCTATTTTCCCAATGGGAGTTAGCATTATGGCTGTCGTTTCCACAGGGCTTTGCTTTGGGCACCCTCAGGTCTCAGGTAGGCAACACGCATGTCTTTGTTGATGATGTCCCTCCATCTTTTCTCTGAGCATCCACATGGTCGTTGTCCTGCAATCTACAAATGTAGTGCTGTTTGTGCTACTCATGTTGGTTCTCTTCTCATGACATGGCATTACCACTGTAGTCTTGCTTCCTGCATTTTCTTGCTGATTGCTTTATTCCTAGTCTTTTGGGTATGTTTTTGGGATATTCTGTTTTGAGTATGTTCAATAGAAGTCCATTTTCATTTAGTCAGTCACTCCATGTCTTCAGCTGTTGCTGGGGGGGCTGCATGTTTTTAGTGGCCAAGTGCTATGTCATCTGAGCATAGGAGTTTCTAGGGATTATGCAGAGTCAGCAAATCTGCTGTAGCAGTGTTGTAGTCTGGCAAGCACCAGAGGATTTTTCTGAATGTTAAGAGGATGAGGGGGATGATGGGTTCCAAGATGAGGAGTCTGTGAGTGTTTGGGGGAATTGCAGGTAGACGAGGCCGATGTTTTGAATTCCTCACCTGATTCCCAGGCAGTAGGGGAAATTGAAAGTACCAGTTCCCTTGAGAAAAGGCCTTGGGAAGCTGAGGAGTTTTCAAAGGAGATTAGACTTAAGAACGCAGGGCGTGAAAAGCAGGGAAAACAAGATATTATCAGAGGATTCACGATAAGACCTTGTAGTACAAATGTGTTAGGCATAATGTCATGGGTACCTGGGCAGGCTTAAATTAAGTGGTTTTGGTTTCGGGCCTTTCAGAGGAGACAACGTTGCTAATGGCCAATGGTCTCCTGTTCAATGGATTCCAAGTTCATGGTTCCTGATTTTTCAAGATTCCTTTTTCATGTTCCTGTCTATTCCTATGTACCTTTGGAGAAGTTACCTTGGAGAGGTTGCTGTTTTAATGTTTGTGGATATACCTTTGGATTTATTCTGTGATTTTAGATTCCTTGGTTTCTGTTTAATTGGCATTTTTGGATTACTGCTACTGAACTCAGACTTTTTTGTGTTTTGCATTTTATACCCTGACTGTCTCTTTTGGATTTGTCTTTTTCCCCCTTTTTATAAACATTTCTTCAATAAACAGCTTTCTTTAAAAAACATTATCTGGTGTGTTGCTGGGTAAAAGAGGTGTCCCAGTGCTAGGGTGCAACAAGTGTTCATGCAGAGTATGGATATTAATGGTGAGAGTGCTGATCCTTGATGCACGTTAACAGTGATGTTGAAGGGTGGCAAAATCCCTGCAAGGCAGTGGACCACTAAAGAAAATATGCAGCCTCTACACTAGTATTGTCTCTTGAGTTCAAACTTTTGCATGTTTCACTATTCAGATTGTTAGAGTACTACCTGCATAGAATAGATATCCTGACCATAGGAATTGGCTGGTTCAAATGGTGTTCATATTTTGTCTGCTTTCAAAGGGCAAAATAGTTTTAAATGCATTTTTATTAATGTTTATGCTATTAAGTTATTTTGTTGTATTAAGTGATATTTGTTTATTGTCTGTATTATATTATTTACTGTATTCGTTTGTTTGTTGTAAGCCTCCCTTAGTACCTTTGGGGAGAGGGGGCGGGATATAAATAAAGCTTGTCATTAGCATTGGTATTATTATTACTGATCGCATCCTTGAAAATGTGGACAACTTAAGTTTTTTCTAAGCAAAATAAAAAGCTGCTCATGTTCTTTATCTTTCTGGTTGGTGATCCACTCTTTGTTATCAGTGCTGATTTACAAAGTAATGGCATGCAAACAACCCATAACTTTGTGCTACTTAAAGAAGGATGTAGCTTATTTCCATAATAATTTGTGTAAACCCTCTGGAAAATATTTACTTAGTTAGTTTATTTATATCCCATTTTATATTTATTTATTTATTTATTATATAGTATCTACAAAAATTGTTACTTGTATTAAAAATTGTGAGTTTTTAAAAAAATCTCCTTAGGTTGACCATTGCTTACAATTGAAGTCTCAGCTGTCAGAATATGAAAATACTGTCAGGAAATTAAATGCTCAAATGGAAGATCTGAAGCTACAACTGAAGCAAACACAGACAGGTAAGAATATCTCTTGTCTTCTCACCTCCCCATCCTTATTCTGTTCAATTTTATTTGCAGGAGATAAAGTCATTAATATACTTAAATTTAGGACCTTCAAGCAAACATGGGCTAAAATGTTATTTAAGCATCTACGTATGTCAATAAAATACAATTAATGCATATACACTACACAATGTAACAAAATTTGAAATATTTTCTGTTCATAGTTTGAACATGTTATTTCCTGTTTAATTGTATGGTACTTACTTTGGCTACCAGTTTGCTACCGGGCACAATTCAGAGTGCTGGCTTTAGCCTATAAAGCCCTAAACGGTTCTGGCCCTACTTACCTCTCCTAATGCATCTCCTCCTATGAACCGACTAGGACACTAAGATCATCTGGGGAGGCCCTGCTCTCGGTCCCGCCTGCATCACAGGCGCGCTTGGCGGGGACGAGAGACAGGGCCTTCTCAGTGGTGGCCCCTCGGCTGTGGAATGCCCTGCCTACAGATATCAGATTGGCCCCCTCCCTGCTGGCGTTTCGGAGGAAAGTGAAGACCTGGCTGTTCGAACAAGCATTTGATTAAACAGTGTAATTGAACATAGGAATACGGAATAATGGATGACGAGACTGGATTCTGATTTTACTGTTGAGGCGCTAATGATTGTTATACTGATGTTAATGATTTATGTGATAATTGTTTTTAATTGCCCTATACTTGTTTTGTGATATTTTGTACTGATGTTGTTCACTATTTTGAGTCGCCTGAGGGCTGAGAAAAGCGGTATAGAAGTAAAGTAAATATATAAATATGTTCCTGTATCAAAAATGCAAGATACTCCACTTTGGCAGAAAAAATGAAATGCAAAGATACAGAATGGGGGACGCCTGGCTCGAGAGCAGTACATGTGAAAAAGATCTTGGAGTCCTCGTGGACAACAAGTTAAACATGAGCCAACAATGTGATGTGGCGGCAAAAAAAGCCAATGGGATTTTGGCCTGCATCAATAGGAGCATAGTGTCTAGATCTAAGGGAAAGTAAGGCTACCCCTCTATTCTGCTTTGGTTAGACCACACCTGGAATATTGTGTCCAATTCTGGGCACCACAATTCAAGAGAGATATTGACAAGCTGGAATGTGTCCAGAGGAGGGCGACTAAAATGATCAAGGGTCTGGAGAACAAGCCCTATGAGGAGCGGCTTAGGGAACTAGGCATGTTTAGCCTGAAGAAGAGAAGGCTGAGAGGAGATATGATAGCCATGTATAAATATGTGAGAGGAAGCCACAGGGAGGAGGGAGCAAGCTTGTTTTCTGCTTCCTTGGAGACTAGGACGCGGAACAATGGCTTCAAACTACAAGAGAGGAGATTCCATCTGAACATTAGGAATAACTTCCTGACTGTGAGAGCCGTTCAGCAGTGGAACTCTCTGCCCCGGAGTGTGGTGGAGGCTCCTTCTTTGGAAGCTTTTAAACAGGCTGGATGGCCATCTGTCAGGGGTGATTTGAATGCAATATTCCTGCTTCTTGGCAGGGGGTTGGACTGGATGGCCCATGAGGTCTCTTCCAACTCTTTGATTCTATGATTCTATGATTCTATGAAAATAAAGGAAAGCAATTTAACATATAGCAAATTTTTTATCTAAAATTAACAATACACATGGGTGATGAAACAACCAGGTCAAGTAAATTTTGCAGAAGTAAACAAAAACATTTTGAACCTTCCAGACCACTTGAGGGCCTCTTCCAAACTGCATCCCCAAATGACATCTCCATCTTCATCATACTCATGTTGATGTTGCTAAAACAACTTCTAACTAGACTACAGATGAAGGGGGAAAGTAACAAATATGGGGCTGACTGAGAATAAAGACCTTTAAAAAAATAAGGTTTAATTTGTTGGTGGCTGCATTAAGTGAATTATGCCTGTTTCTGAAAATTTAGAAACTAGATACTCCTTATTCGGAAATTGATAACTTTCACAATTGATATATTTGTTTATATCCCATTCTGTTCTATTCTGTTTACCTCCTGGCTGTTAAATATCCAATTTAATTGTTTATGTCTGCACCTTGTACCACAACCTTCCTTGAAGACAAGTTGTTTCAGTCATCTTTAATTCTGAAGCAGACTACTTCAGTATAAATATGGATTTTCTTGGTATAAAAGCTGTTTTCTTCATTGTTCAGAGGAGTAGAGTATCATGAATCTGTTAGAGATGTGAATTGAAAACAGTAATCCAACAGTTCATTTTTCAATTGTAGAGTGGAACTAGCAGTACTTCTTAATAAAGCTGGAATCTGAATTAATTTCTTTATTTTTTTTCTTTCTCTGTGTTTGAAATTCTTATGTATCTAGCACTAGAGAATGAAGTGTACCGGAATCCTAAGCCATCCTTGGTCGATCGTTCTGTCATTGATTTGATTGGAGATAAGTGTGTTCCTCATGACATTTATGTCGATGGTACTCTCTTGAAAATGCACCCTTTGCCTGATACTATTGGAATGGGAAATGCTGTAAGCCCCAGCCATCACCATCACCTCCAAAGATCCAGTTCTTCGTTGGATTCTGATTTAGAATTTGTAGCTAACACCAAAGCTAGGATAAAGGAATTGGAGAGAGAAGCTGAGCATTTAGAAAAGGCCTACAGAAATTACCAGCACAGAGCCATTCAAAGCAGTGTTGGCCCAATGAAGACCCCATCATCTTTGCCTTTGCCAAATGATGTTATTGTGGCGCCTGGCCAAAAACATTGGGTTGCACAGAGTAATCTGTATTCCCAGGAATTTCCTGTACACTGTCAAAAAAGTGAAAGCTATAATTGGACACCAGGAAATGAGGATTGTCTGAAAATTAATTTGACCCCTCCACAAAAAAGAACAGTTGCTTCCAGACGTCTGTCTTCTACTCCTGTTTCCAAAGCAAAACGAAACATTAGCAACAAGCTGTTTTCTGAAGGTAAGCATTGTATATTTTATGCTCATTAATATGCTGCTTTGTGTGAACAGCTGGAGTTACTGATAGTTCTGCCATGATGAACTACTATCTCTGCTCTAGGTCCATTGCTATTTTCTGCACTGTTGGAGTGGTAATAAAATTCCTAATTTGCTTGTCTCCACACCAAAAAGAGTGCTGTTTGGGACTATATAACAAAGTCAGAATCTATATTTGTATGGGGAGCTAGTAGTCAGTTTTCTGAACTCAGATAATTGTGTATAGATGTTTATTCTTAATAAATACTCTCTTGCTCCTGCTTTTTGAATAGGTGGAGGTAGATCACTTTGAGGTTAGCTATGAAATAACTGTTTATTCTGTTTTGTACTGCAAGCATTTGATTCCTTCTCATTTAAAAATGAGTACAGTTTTCTTTTCAAACAGTATGGATTGTCATGGCTTATTGTTGGCATACCTGTTAACATTCCATATATATGTTCACAATCTTTGGATGAATCAAGGTGAAAACCATTTCATATGTTACTTTCACATTTTTCTAACTTAAGGGAGCTTGGAAACTATGCATTCTGTTTTGTTTAGCAGAGCCAGAGGGAAATCTTTTTTAAAAGTATGATGTCATTAAACTTTCATGCTCATTAACATTTCAAAATTACACTCTTAGTTTGTTTAGAAAATTGAAATGTTTTAGGAGTGCAGAGCACATTAAATATGAATCTTAGTCATACTATATGTCACTGACACCGTGTCACCCTGAATACTCTAATTTTTCAGGCTGAGCATACTTGAGGCTGGTTAGTGCTTTAGTAAAGAGATCATAGCATATCAATTTGTTTATATTACACCTTTCCTCCAGAACTGGTATTCAATGCAGCTTACAGAATTTAAACTGACTTGCAAAAACCATTTTCCTCTGTTCCAGATATTAAGGCATCCCATGATCTCTCAGTTTTAGGGCATCCAGATTTTCTAGTTGTGCTTCTGGAAGTCTCTTGAGAATAAGGATGGCTGCATTATTCAGTTTTGTGGGTTGGTTAAGGGTTGGTTTTTTTTAATTTTTTTTTTTGCAAAATTGGGATGAAAAAGGCCTTTAAGCCTAAGGAAAGGTCAATTAGAACATGTTTGTGGAATGTGAGGCCCACAAGCTTCAACTGGTTCTTTACCCTTACATTTGCCCCCCCCCCCTTTGAATTCAATCATTTAAAAAAAAAAATCCAGGTCTGATTTTTCACTAGAAAGCTGTCCACTAATGTGACATTTTCTTTCAAGTGCCCTGGAACCACAACACCTGTCAAATTAAAAAAACAACCCACAACTAAAATTGCCCCCTGAATACAAAAAGGGGAGGTCATTTTTTGTGTCCCAGAATTCACAGGGGTGAAAATTGGTCCTTGACTACTGCACAGTTTCATGGCCTTGTTCTGGAAGTGCAATTGTCCAGTGTTTGGTCAAATTAGTCCTACAAACCTGAAATAGGATATCCATGCATCAAGACTTTTGTAATTAGTTATAGCCTGTGAAGTATTATTGGATGTAAGGGGTTGTTTTCTGTTATGCAGACCCCAGTGGCTCATCACTTGCTGCTCCCCTTCAGAATGCTGATCAGCCTCTCTCCCCAATTCCACGAACAGGCGGCCGCTTATCTCCTGAATCTGCTTCTAATATGTCTTCTTCCTCTTCATCAGGCCCCAATGAGAAAAAGTTAAGGTAATATCAAATTCAAAATTTTCTTATTGCTACAAGGCAGTGTGGAAACATTGGTGGTGTCAGTTAGCCCATTGTCAGTAATTTGAGAAGACCAAGACCAAAGAAGAACAACGTTCTATATGAACCTTAATTCAGTTTTGTAAAGATTGCAACTAGGAATAGGAAAAAAACCATACAATGGCCTCTTGTGACATGGAGTTGCTACTACCCTGAGGGAACAATAGGAATTCTTACTATAGGAATGTTTTGATCCAGTTGGAGGACCAAGGTACAATTTTCCTAGTTTCCAGTGCTCTGGTTACCTAACTTATCCATCAACAGCTAAGGGGTGGCACATGTTTTCTTGGAAATATGTTACAATCTATGTATATAATAAAAGTCAGTGTTTGTATGTGGAGGGCGGAAGTGCGGCAGACGGAGGGAGGATGTAGGGCGGAGGTGTATGTGGCAGCTCTCTGATTGGCTGCCACTGTGGTACAATTTACATATGGTCTCTGATTGGCCAGCCTGAAAACTCCAAGATTCTGAGGTGACAGAGAGGAGAGGAAAAGCCCTGAGGCTGTGTCAGAAAATTACCAATACAGACCAAACTTGGCAAACAGAGCCTGCAAGACCCACTCTATATCCTACTGCAGTTTGGAGGAGGATGGACCATGGATGATGGGACTTGCAGTACCATCACTCACTTTCTGAGACCGCTGTGACCTTCATCCAATGACTGATCAAGACCAAACTTGGCACACAGAGCCCCCGTGAGCCACTCTACATCCTGATGCTGTTTGGAGGAGGACGGACAATGGATGATGGGACTTGCAGTACCTTCACTCACTTCCTAAAACCACACACTCTACATCCTGGTGCACTTTCGAGGAAGACAGACCATGGATGATGGGACTTCAAGTACTTCCACTCACTTCCCAAGACTGCTGTGACCCTCATCTAATGACCAATCAAGACCAAACTTGGCACACAGAGCCCCCATGAGCCACTCTACATCCTGGTGCTGTTTGGAGGAGGATGGATGATGGATGATGGGACTTGCAGTACCTTCACTCACTTCCTGAAACCACAGCAACACTCATCCAAATACCAATAAAGACCAAACTTGGCACAGAGAGCCCCCATGGCCATTTAAATAAATGTAGTTCTTGGCTTACAGTTTACTTCTAGTGGAATAGAAATGATTTCCCTGAAAAGAGAAGCTTTCAGTGACAGACTTTACTCTCTGCCTCTGGGCAGAAAACAGGGCTATAATAACCTATAGCCTCTTGAATGTTCTGTCAAGGACTATATAAATGTTTCGTGTATATGTGTGTGTGCAGTAGAGTCTCACTTATCCAACCTTTGCTCATCCAATGTTCTGTATTATCCAACACAGTCTGCCTCCCGTCTGGATCCACAGCTTTTCTTTGCAATGTTTTGGTGCTAAATTTGAAAATACAGTCATTATTACATAACATTACCGTGTATTAAACTGCTTTTCTATTGATTTGTTATAAAACAAGATGTTTTGGTGCTTAATTTGTAAAATCATAACGTAATTTGACATATAATAGGCTTTTCCTTAATCCCTCCTATTATCCAACATTTTCGCTTATCCAAGATTCTGCCAGCCCGTTTATGTTGGATAAGCGAGACTCTACTGTGTGTGTGTGTACTATTGTTTTGAACTCTGAGTCTGCTAATTTTTTTTTTTAAAAAAAGCAGGACACTTATAAACAAGAGTAAAACAAAGAGACTTCATATTCATAAGGCCTGCTTTGTGTTACTTACACTGAAGTGAATGATTCCTTTGTTATCATTTGCTTTGTAGAATATTTGGCTTAAGACACCTAGCTAGACTCATGTAAGATTTCTAAGAGAGATGTTATTACTGTCCTTTATCTTCTTCCTTTTTAGTCTTCATCAGGAAGAAGGTGAAAATCAGAATTCTAACAACTCTGCGGTCCCTGAGAATCTCTTGTATGATGATCTTGAAAATCATGACTCTGATAATGAAGGTATACCATTCTTGGATATTATTGGATAAATGGACACCTTTTTTCTTGGCATTTCATAATAGTTCAAATTGCCCTAAAAACATGTAAAAACATTTTAGGACAACACAAAAGGATTTAATATGGTGCTCCCATCCTGACTATCAATGCAGAAAACGCTCCTTTTTTGGCACCATGACATGATAGTTTCATATGTTCATTGCTAGGACTTCACATTGTCTGACATATAATGATTGCATATAATGTTGCTACCAAATCCAATCTCTGTCATCAAATATAGGGTACCTCCATCTAGCTTGGGAATTCATACCTGTATTTTATGTTCTTATTTTTTATATAAAAAAGTTCACTGAGCCTCCTGTGATATAATCTGTTTTGCATGATTACATGGATGAGATACAAGTTAAGTGAATGAAGCCTTTAGTGAGCACTATTAGAGGCATAGTATAAAATCCAAGCAAATTAGTGTTTAAGAACAATTGCTGATTGTCATTTGCAACTGGGCATAACTGGAGAAAAAAATGTAGTATTTAAAATAGTCTAAAATAATGGGATTAGTCAAATGGGAGAAGGCAATTGGAATAAAAAATGGAGAGGCCACACACAGGTTATGCAAACTTGTCTTGATTATGTTTAGGAAAGTTTTGTGTGTGGCAAGATTTTACAGGGCTGGAGACTGATTCTATGAATGAACCAGAATAAGAGGCTGCTGCTTTCTGATACTTGTATATAGTGAAAGAGAAAATACAAAAGGATAGATGTGACACTTGTGGCTCCTACCACGTCCTGTAAAAGAGTTTGTGAAGGGGCAAACTCTGGGAAGATACGTTCTATTTTATGAAAAGGAATTATACAGTGTCAGTAGCCTAACCTAACATTTGTAGGTTTTAAACCTTTCAGGTCCACAAAAAACTGAAGCTACATTATCTCTTTCTTTAACAAATATACCTCAAGAAATCATTTCCAAGCCTGACTGTCTCATGATTCTGATTAAAGCAATTTCAGCCCATTTGAAGTTTCTTCATTCTTAGGGCAGTGGTTAAGGCCAAGAAGAGCACTCAATTAATAGGCATTCTGAGCACCAGGCATTCCCACACTGTGTGTCCATTTATTTCCCTTGCTTTGATAATTGCAGAATAATGATGGCATTGTTCGCACTTCTCCTCTAGATCAAGAGGACATTCCAGAACAGCTCAAAAGCAATGTGTCACATCCCTCTGGGGACATTGTTAGTGGGAACCATGTCCCAGCCTATGTGCCAGCAACAGGCACTTCACAGCAGGAGGACAGAAGTGAGTTTTCAGATCAAAATACTGTTTGGGGATAGATTGCTTTCAGAGAATGTGGAAGTTGTAGCTTTTGCATCTTCTTGTTTAAAATGAATTATGTTTTATCCTTTTAAACCAGCTAATAGTGGAGAATATGGAAGACACTTTTCAAAAATAGAATGGTTTAAATATTCCTCAAAAACTGTTGAAAAGAATTGTGTATCTAGAAGAATTTAAAACAACAAAAAGGTCTCGAATGTCTTAAAAACCATTAGAGTTTGCATCTCATTTGCAGAAGTAATATTCCATGTAATGTTTGCAGAAGTAATCGCTCATTTAGGAGAAACTATGATAATGAAGCTCTTTCAAGTTTTCTTCTTCAACTGTAGCATATGTGTTCTTCTGTCTCTGCACCCAGTACCAGGTGTGCAAGCTGTGGGGATTCCTGTTCTTAGAATAACCAGAAAAGAACATTATCTTAGCAAAGTGACACTATAAGCCTATTCTTTAAAAAATCAGGGATGAACATTCATTTTCTCTATTCAAAACCACAGCCTTCATATCCAGCATTTTCTAGTTTTAAAGTAACCATGCTTCTCTTCTTTTACCCATTCTTTTCTTCTTGCATGCTTCTTCCAATATTTTATGTCAAGAAACTAGGATTTTAGAGGGAAAACCCCAAGGAAATGGCAGCTGTATTGAACCAGCCTATGTTTTGGTGGTGGAGCAGCTGGATAGGTGATAGGAATCATTTTAAGAGTCTTCTTATTTCTGATATCTTTGAAGTTATAAGTCATGTTCAGGTTGTGTTTTCAAATTTCAGCAAGATTCATTATTCGTAATACATTGGTGAACTTTTCCATCATAAAGACCGTGGCCTATCTATCTTAGGTGAAGTGATACCAGTTTTTTTCTAGTAAGAATATGCTGTACATCTGATAGAACACCCATACAAATTTTAGTATGGCTTTTAATTGTTTTTGAGTCATTGCTGCTGAAAGGATAAAATTTTCCTTGTCATTTCTACACTTGGTTTTGTTGACATATGGCTTGTTGAATTTGTTTTCTGCTTATGGGAGGTGAAGCAAAGGCAGAAGCCTTAGAGAAGGAAGTGCATCTTGAAGAACAGCAAGAGGAAGCAGAGCAGGAGTGGCAAGAAAGGAGACACCAAGAAGAAATAAGGCAGGCAGAGAGGTTGGAAGCTTTTGAAAAAGATCAAGGGAAGCTGGAAAAACTGAGTGAAGAAATGGTAATGTATTTCATTTTCCCGAATTTAAAAATGTGTGCAATGGTAGGCCTTTGTTCTTAGAAATCTATTTAATCTATTGAAATTGTGAATAGGGAATGCCTTTTTTAAAAAATGGAAACAGTATATAGAATGGCCATTGTTCACAGTGTACAGATTCATACTGAAGTCTCTGGTTCAAGACTATCTGCTTCACCAGGGAATTTTTTTCTTCTCTTACATCTCCTGTGTACTTAATGCTTAAAAAATACTGGTAGAAATAAGAAGGGCAAAAACTTGCTTTTGCAGAACTGACTTTGCTGCAGTATTCTGCACAGAGCAGATCGATTTTCTTTATGTTTATGTGTGTGGATATGAGCATGCAGTCCTTATAACCAACTGACAGCAACTAATTTATTCTTGAGGAACTACAGGATGCTTAGTGTGGGTTGTAAGAATCAGTAAGACAAGGTTGATCATTCCCTTCTGTTCTGTTAAATGTCATGTTTCTCATGTTTTTTCTTTAGTGTGTTCAAGAATCAGTGGAGACTGATGAGAAAATGCCACATGAAGAAGTAACCATTTTGGAAACCAGTATGCCACAATATGACAAGAAGAATGGTGGTGATATTCCTAATCCATTGGAAAAATACATGAAAATAATACAGCAAAATCGAGAGCAAGAGCTTGTAGACAAGGTGCTATCTTCTAATAATGTAGATAGAGTATGAGTTGAAATTTGTGTACTGTGAGAGCAAGACACAATTCCTGCTACTAATAAATGTTAATGATTCATTTCTTAATATATTTCATGATCATGTAAACCTTACAGTTTCATGGATGTAAGTAATTTAAACTTCAGAAACCTGAGTAAGCTAAAACCCTAATATTTGAATGTTATAGAGGCAGGGAAAGTGTGGCATATGAACTGTTTATGCCCTTCCCCCCAACCCCATTTTTATAAGCCCCGGAGTCCTCTGGGCCCCGGAGTCCTCTACACCACACCACAAATTTTTAAAATAATGCAAACTTTGCCAGATAACCACCCAAACTATGAAAAATGCCTCCCACACCCCCAGAATCCTATATGATTTGTGCATTCCTTGTCCAAAATGTTTGGGACAGAAGTGTTATGAAAATAGAGCAGGGCAGATAGAGCCCAAAATTTTCAGATTTGTAATCCTCAGTCATCATCTCTGCAAAGTGCCCCAATATTTGTGTGCATATTGGCCCAATTGATGACTGGAAGTGATGTTACATTGCTTCCTGTTGCCATTTTGGCTCATAGCCAAATACTGAGTCGCCCTGAGGGCTGAGAAGAGCGGTATACAAATATAGTAAATAAATAAATAATTTTGGCTCATAGCCAAATACTGTGGGAAGAAGTCACTGGGATGGGACCAGTGACTTCTTCCCACGGTTGAAATTGGGCCCTGCCCAGCCTTATTATGACATCCTTTAAGTGTTATAGTTGCCTGCCTGAGAGAAGTCAGAAAATATAGCTGTACACCACTTAGCAAGTGATTGAAATCCAACCAAGGTCTAGAATATGTACTTTTCTGAACTATATTTCCAGGACGTTCCAGCTAGTATGAGACATATGTGGTATTTGATCCAAAAAAGGAGCATTTCCAGTTTGTCAATCCAATTGTAATGAGTGGTACTTCATTCTCCCTACTGTCTTAAGGCTCATTGATTTTAGTCGTTCATTAGAGATAGATTTAGGGCATTGTGTCTAACCTTAACGATTTTACCTAGTCATCATATATAAGTTGAACAAAGTTGTATTCTTCTTTGCTCTTCTTGCATTTTTGGTCATATTCCTTAATGGCAATCCTTTGATTGGGTGGTATGACTATGCTAATGTTTGTACAGTATTGAATAATGTTTTAAATACATACTAAGCTATTTAAGCCTAAGTCACTGGAATGCTAAGAAGATATTGAAGGATCTAATAACATTTCTTTCTCTCTATTAGAACTCTAAAAAAGAAGAAACTGACATACCATCTGAGAGACTTGCAGACAGCAACAGGGAAGACAGGTATACATCTTCCTAGTGATTGTCATTTTTGGTTCGTTCTTAGCTTGTGGTTTGGGTTGGTGCTTTTTCAAAAGTACATTGAATTGCAGACCAATAATGTATAGTAAAAATATTTTACCTCTTTCTGATAATATTCAATAACATATTTACAGGTATCTAAAAACATTTACCTGCAGTAAGTAAGGTAGTAATCTAAAGTGGACTACCCCAAAATTCAGAGCTCTTATGTTGAAATTAGTTTGTGTGCCTTTCCTGCTAAGGTTAGGTTCTGAAAGCTCTGGAAAGTACAGTCAGCTATAGCTCCATGTCCTGGCAACTTGGCACATTTTTCTCAATCTCTTTGTCTGAAAATGAAATCAAAGCAATGTGTTGGATCTGGGCTAAAGAGAGCCCATCAGTCTACTGAGATGGCTAGCAACATGAGAATAGTCCCCTAGGTACGTACTTACTTAGGCGATCCCTCGTAGTCTGAGGATGATGGTCCTCCAAGGTTGGTGTCCTGGTGGTGGGTCCATAGGTGACTATGGTGAGCCTCTGGTATGACATCCAGCAAAATTTACAGGTGTGAGCCCCACAAAGGGACTTGGAAAAGCAGCATTTCTCCTATAGTTGCCCCACAAGAGAGCACATATTCTCAAATGCTGTGGAAAGGGCAAACCTCATCCTGTTCCGTTAGCTGACCATCATTGTAGCATTCCAAAAACGCAGGAAAAATTGCTTACTTGCTACATGTGAAGCAGCAGTTACCTTGTGCAGTAGGCACTCCCATGGCCCATATGGGTTAAAGGCAGTATTCCTCCTTTCCCCCATTATACATGCATTGCCATCTTTACCTGGACACTAGGTGTCCTAGTAGGGCCATTTGTAACAAGAAGTGACACTAATATCTAGATACAGAAAAGACTTTTCCACCTAGGAATCTTTATTATTAGACTGTTCTCCCCTGAATACTTTAAAATTTATTAAGGGAATAATTAAAAGTTTTAACAATTAAGAAATAGAATGACCCAGATCTTAAATGCTTCCCAGAATTGCCTGAGATGCACAATTTCTCTAACCTCAGAGGATAAAATGTCTTTCTTTCGAAGGTTTTGTGAGGAGCAGGGGAAATATCACTCCCAGGACTGTTGTAGTAACTGCCAGACCATTAAAAAAACAAAAAACAAACAAAACACACACACACATTTAGAATATTTTTTCTGAGAACCCTGGTTAGATGGAAGAAAGGTGTCCAGGGGAGACCATTTTCTTTCTCCAAGAGTTCGTTTCTGGGTCACTTTCTTTAAAAAAAACAACAAACCTTCCCCTGAACCCAAAGACTGCCAAAGATTGCATAGCAAGGCATTTGGGAAGAAAAACTCATGCATTGGGGATAGTCCAAAGTCGCCTGTAGGGATAGCCCCACCCTAACTCTGGAGGGTTGCTCTAGAACTATTAGATGGGTTACAGAGTAGTTAACAGAAAATAATTTAGGAGATTGTCAAATAGAGACACTGAGTGAGTAAGCTGACTAAAGCATCAGGCTTTGTGGCAGACTCACTGTTCCATTGTAACGTTTTTGGCAGATTGTTGATTCACTGCAATTTCATGTGACAGGTCTAACAGTGTTTTAGTGGAGGTGAATAAAAAAAGCATTGGCCACAGGTTGAAAAAGATTTGCCCTGTTCAGATCACCAGACAGTATAGGCAGGTGTATGGAAGTTGGACATGTTGACCTTGTGTTTGCCAAAGGGACATACAGCTTTCCTTCTTGCCCCCTAACTGGAGTATTTAAAAATTATTATAATAGTCCTTGTTTGCTGAGAAGGGAATGATTTCCAAGCTAATGACTTCAGTCCAGGAGATATGGCTCCTGGTGGCTCAAGATCTTTCAAGGCGATGTCTAGTGTGTTAGAGCTCCACACTTGGAAGCTGAAAGGCAACAAATAACCAGGAAGGGTATTTGAATATGGATATCTTTATGAATGTCATGTGTGCTTATGTAGAGCATTGTTTTAGTGATTGTAACAGAAAATCCTGCAATACCAAAATCAATGTTAAACTGTTTTTGATCTTCAGTCAAGCCTAGACAAGTTATTAAGGCTTTGGCATTTAACAAGATTGGACATTTGTTTGTTGCTAAACATCCAAACATAAAACTTCTTTACACTGTGATTACTATTTTTGTTTCAAAGCTGTGCTACTGAAGTATTATTTTATTTACTTTGCTTGCATACCGCAGTTTCTCAGCCCGTAGGCGACTCAATGCGGTTCACAACAAGAGCAAAGGACAATCCAACAACATACAATATTAAAACCATTAACAGTATAAAATACAAACTAATGACATCTCAATAACAACACATTAACGTCTCGTAACTAAAATCGTGATCCAATTCGTCATCCATAATTCCGTTTCCTATATTCATTGTGTTCATTGCACTGTTTATCCGAACGCCTGTTCAAACAGCCAGGTTTTTAGTTTTCTTCGAAACACCATTAACGAAGGGGCTGATCTAATGTCCAAGGGAAGGGCGTTCCACAGCCGAGGGGCCACCACAGAGAAGGCCCTGTCCCTCGTCCCCGCCAGCCGTGCTTGTGATGCAGGCGGGATCGAGAGCAGGGCCTCCCCAGAAGATCTTAGAGTCCTGGTGGGTTCATAGGCAGAGATACGTTCAGATAGGTAGCTTGGGCCAGAACCGTTTAGGGCTTTATAGGCCAACGCCAGCACTTTGAATTGAGCCCGGTAGCAAATCGGCAGCCAGTGGAGCTGGTGCAGCAAAGGAGTTGTATGCTCCCTGCGCTCCGCTCCTGTTAGTATCATGGCTGCCGAGCGTTGGACTAGTTGGAGCTTCCGAGCTGTCTTCAAAGGCAACCCCACGTAGAGAGCGTTGCAGTAGTCTAAACGGGATGTAACCAGAGCGTGGACTACCGTGGCCAAGTCAGACTTCCCAAGGTACGGGCGCAGCTGATGCACAAGCTTTAACTGTGCAAATGCTCCCCTGGTCACCACCGAAACCTGGGGTTCCAGGCTCAGTGAATCCAAGATCACACCCAAGCTGCGAACCTGCGTCTTCAGGGGGAGTGTGACCCCATCCAACACAGGCTGTAACCCTATGCCCTGTTCGGCCTTACGACTGACCAGGAGTACCTCTGTCTTGTCTGGATTCAATTTCAATTTGTTCGCCCTCATCCAGACCGTCACAGCGGCCAAGCACCGGTTCAGGACCTGACAGCCTCCTTAGTAGCAGGTGGAAAGGAGTGACAGAGTTGGACATCATCTGCGTACAGATGACATCGCACTCCGAAACTCCGGATGATCTCGCCCAGCGGCTTCATGTAGATGTTAAACAACATGGGAGACAGTACTGAACCCTGAGGAACCCCACAAGACAAAGGTTGTGGGTTGAACAGGAGTCTCCCAGTAACACCTTCTGAGACCGACCCTCGAGGAATGAGCGGAGCCACTGCAGAACAGTACCTCCAAGCCCATCCCCGCGAGGCGCCCCAGAAGGATACCGTGGTCGACGGTATCGAAGGCCGCTGAGAGGTCGAGCAGCACCAACAGGGACACACTCCCCCTGTCGAGCTCCTGACGCAGATCATCCACTAAGGCGACCAAGGCTGTCTCGGTACCATGCCCCGGTCTAAAGCCAGACTGTGCCGGATCCAGATAATCCGTGTCTACCAAGAATACCTGGAGTTGTGAGGCCACCACACGTTCCAAGACTTTGCCCAAAAAGGGGAGATTGGAAACAGGCCGATAGTTGACGAATTGAGTGGGGTCCAGTGATGGTTTTTTCAACAGCGGTTTTATTACAGCTTGTTTTAAGCTGGCTAGAATTTTGCCTTCCCGAAGAGAGGCATTAACCACCACCTTCACCCACTCGGCCAATCCCCCTCTGGCCTCCTTTAGAAGCCAGGATGGGCAGGGGTCCAGGATGCATGTGGTTGCCCTCATTCCTCCAAGTATCTTGTCCACATCCTCGGGTTTCACCAATTGAAATGAAGTAGAGTCCTGAAAGCTCTTATGTGACTTTCCTTCAAACTTTTAAGAAAGACCAACACTGAAATAATTCTTCTTCATTGCCATAATGCTTTCTAAGAGAATCTGAACTTGGTTCATGGCCATTTTTGTTTTGTTTTCAATGAGGGCTCTGTTCTTTGGTTAGATCTTGCTTCTAAGGCTGCTCTGTGTTCCTTCCAGAAGTGATAAATACCATCTTTTTTATTCTCATCTTAACACAAATACAGGATAGTAATGATGTAATCTTATGTTTGTGCTAGATAATACCGAATGTCCAATTATATGATTTTATTGAGTGTCTATGGCCTAAAGAGTTTTTTGGCCTAAAGGGTTTCTCCCAGAAATCTTATTAGGATTTCTGGGAGTTGAAGGCCAAAACATCTAGGTACCCACAGGTTGAGGACCACTGATCTATATTTTCTTGCTGGCTATATGATACTGTTGTTTACTAGGTAATGAACAATTCATTACTCAAAGCCTACTCCATGCAGAGCAATTGGGGCGGGATGATAGGGGAGAGACAAGCTTTTAGAGGCCTATAAAAAAGTAGAAACCTGTTCCAAAATGATTTTTTTCTTTCTCCTCCCAGCTTTAGTGCAGCAGGCACTCTTCATGAAGAACCCGATGAAGATTTCTGGTGAATATCAGCTATCTGATTTTTAAAAAATTGGACCCATTATAAAAGAGGAATGACTGTTTGGAAGATCCTGGTTTTTCAGAACACTGAAATGTTTCAGTCTGCAGAGTAATGAAGAAATAGTGCATTTGAATACATCACCTTCAGGATTGTAACTGATGTTAAGAGAACTGTTTTGGGATTAAGATTTCAAAGAACTGTACCTCATCAGTTTATTTCACCTGGTCTGTTATATAGGTGTGAGTGAAGAAGAAATCTTTCAATTATATATTTTTCTCTAGTTTTTTTAATGAACAAGTTTTAATTGGGTTATTTCTCAGTGTAAATCCATTTAAATGATAGAGATAATGATATTGTTTCAGAAGCGATTGCAGGGTTTATAGATGATCAACTATTTTTCCACAGCTCTGGAAAGACTGTGAAATTCACAATGTTGATTTGCTTCTTTATGGGAAGTAAATTTGTAGTGTCTTAATATTAGTTTATTGACTGTAACTATACATATTTTTGTGTAAGAATCAGTGTATTTCATACTGTCATTTTATACAGCCAAGTGTTTTTCTGATTTCCCCCCGTAATGATGACTTACTGTTAAAATGCATGCTGCTTATACAGATTAATTTCTCACTGAGTGAGTAATTCTTAAGGATGTTTATAGGAAGAAGACAGTATGTTTAAACTTGAAAATGGCAAGTAGAAAAACTTGCCCATTCCTTAAATGGAAAACCAGAAAGGCAACTTTTCACACTTCAACAAAAAAAGCCTTTCTTTCAAACTTCTATTGTGGATGAAACAGGGAAAATTAACTAAGTACTGGAAGGTTGTCTGAACTGATTAAAATTGAATGAATCATATTGTTTTGTATAGGAATGTTGCTTTGGAGAGCAATGGAGGAATTAATTTTGCTAATTGCATATTTTGGTTTTGAGGAGACATTATGTGGAGAGTTGATAATATTTTTTGACATCCATGAGATAGATAGATACTGGATAATTTGTAGAACTGAAAATACATCTCTGTCTGGGTGGAAGTAGTCTCTTTGAAAACAAGGACACCTGTAGATTAGATTGTCAGCTCTGTCCCTCAACAAATGTATAGGTGAAAAGAGCTGCTGTGGTTTTGCAAACTTTTTTCCAGCAGTTTTTATATTTGAGGATCAGTGTTATACAGAATCGTCACAATAGTCTTTTTTGTTTAGCACATAAACCTTCTATCAAACATCAGATTGCTAAAAACAAGAACTTGCCCTTTTATCATATTTACACGAGTGTAATGCGCCAACAAATGTAATGCACACCTCAATTATGAAGGTGGGCATTACAATAAAAGGATTTGCTGTTGAGTGTAATACGAGAGAGTTGTGACCGCGAAAAAGCTAATGGGAAGCTGTCCTCTCTGTCAGACCTGATGGGATGATGGTGCAGGCTGATGCTGTAAAAGTTTGGTGGGAAGCTGGCTTCCCACCAGGCCTGATGTTGGGGTGCAGCTTCCCACCAGCCTTTTCATAGCCAACACCAGCTTCCATCACCTTTATTCAGGGCCACTGCTGCTTCTCCCTCCTCTGCCCACAGCCAGGCTATTTTGCCCAACAGCTCAGATGAGTTTAGGTGTGTGATTCTAATGCACCATCAAATCTAATGTGCACCTCAATTTTGGCAATGTAGTTTCACCAAAAAAAGGTTTGCATTAGATTCAAGTGAATATAATATTAGGGCTGTTCCATAACCTTTCACAGTTTTTTTCTTTTAAAGATAAGGTCCATTTTTATTTATCCATACATCGTCCAAATTCTTTGATATTAAGATACTATTGCAAGATGATCCTGTTTGTTTTTCTCACTTATAAACCACATACAACGCCTTCCAAAGTGTGTAGTAGTTTGATACGTTTGCACATTTGTATCTGGAGATGTTTGTTGGTAGATCCATCTTCCTATTTATTAACAATGATTCCTCTACTTTTCAGCATATGCCAAAACTCATAAGCCAGTAAAACTCTAGGTACGATGAACTGTACAACCCCAGTTGCCTACCTGTAAAATATTCTTAAAAGAAGCATACACAAATATTGGTTCTATTATCTACAAATATTTATTGTAACACTTGGATATAACTACAGGAAGCCCTTGGCACTGATAGAAAATATTGATTCACGGTTAGGTTACAAAAATTTATACATAGCAAAATTGAATGCTCTTTACATAAAAAATATTAGACTACTTAAACAAAACTTCAAAAAACTCCCAGTAATAACTACACAGAATTAGAAAAGAATTAGGCTTTAAGACACTGTCTGTTACCTTTATGCAAACACTGGACTAGAAAGAACATCACCTGCATTGCTGTAGAAATTGGTTTCCTTCATGCAACAGGTAAAAACAAACACTAAGCTATTTTTAATCTGCTCTATATAGATTTTGCCTCTTTAATAAAACAAAAAGCCAGATTCGGCATGTAACAAACTCAAATGCAAGGTAATACCTGAATTATTTTCCACATTATTTTTTTAACCTTTATCCTTTTTAAAGAAATGTGTACTTTTATCTTTATACACTTCTGCATGGTCTGAAGGAGCATTTTAATATTCAGCAAACATTCAAAACATGGATGTATGACTCGACTCTTTACTGATTTAAAACTCACTGATGTACTTAATTTTCTCCAACATGTATATATATTTTTAAAAAATAGCACACCAAAGATACCATCACTAGTACTCAAGCTAGCACTAAATGTTTCTGAAAATGTTGAAAGGCAGATTTATGGGAAACAGTTTTAAAATGGCACCCAATATTTTACTGAACACCAAATTTCTTGTACGAGAATACAGAAGCATCGTCTATTCTGCTGAGCACCAAAGTTGAGACGGGTGGTTGACCTGTGCTCTGTATGGCTATGGGTTTGTAAATCTTAAAAATGCTTATTTGCTCATTTTAAAAAAAGTTAAATTACTGTCATTTCCGCAAGGTAACACTTTCCACTTTGATAAAATATGGATAGTCTAATGATCTCCTGCTACTATATAAATGTTTAAAACATTTATAGAAAATAAACATTAAGGCAATGCTGACATTTATTTTCAGAGAAGGGGATCATTATCCTGATCTGATGGGCTGTTTACATTCCATCCAATAGTTAAAAACAAAAATAAATGTGGGGTAATAGGACCCAGCTTACTCCGATAAGTGCAATAGAAAAACAGTGGCTCAATATAGCATCATTGGAAAGGGAGTGGCTCAGAAAACGACACTTCTGGCATTTAGTCCACCATATCCAGTTTAAGTTTTAACAGAGACCGAATAAGCCGATTGGTAACTTCTGAAATTGTATGAAATAAGCACAACTATCTGCATTCATAATTAAAAGGAATAACTATCTAGTTGAGTACTAGAGTCGTAGTTACTTACACCTGTGTAATTATATACAACCTTTTAAAATCTTCTCATCAATACAGGGCTGGATACCGAGTGTGGTATCCTGTTTGAGAAGGAGTGTTTCCCTTCAGCAATTGTATGAATGCTCAGAGTATCCATGAAGATTCCTCCCCTGGTAACTTGTATTTCTCTAACTTGGCCTAAAACGAAGACCCTCCCCTCCCACTCCCCCAGCAATTCCCAACTGAGTGCTAAAAGGAACGAAGGATATCCACTGCAATTTTTCCCCTATGAACATGGCCCAGGAGCATGAATATGAAGTTTTTTATATACTTCTGTATTTGCTTGAACATACATCTGTTCTGCAGAGCAGCTGCTCGATGATTTGTCAGAGCTACAAAATTCTTCCGAAAAAGGACTCTGGCAAACACTTATGTGTAAGAATTGAGTTGCTCTTTGGATCGAGACTGGATATCCTGAAGCTCCTGTTCTTCTTTTGCTTTGATATCTTGGTAAGCCTGCATTTTGCTTGCATCCTTTAAGTAGGCCCAGTTAGAGGACAGTATCATGAGGAAGTGGATCTGGAAAAGAAGGGTGAGCATGATGGCTAGTGAGCATGTCAAGAGCAAAGCAGGCAGCTAGTAAGATTAATTTTAAAAGTTATCCTACATTAATTATTAAGTATTAAAATAGGCAGGAAAGCTGGCTTCTAAAGATCTCTAGAATTTGGCATGCTAGTAGCCGGCAAACGTTAGTAGGAAATACTAAGGGAAAGGTAGTTAATGCAAAAAAGAATAGAAACCGAAAAGCTTTGAAAATACTTTGCAAGTTTACATGCTGAAGCTTAGAAGAGCAACTCAAAAGGTAAATTTGTAGTAGTTCCTTCCCTTCTGATTTCCTTCTCCACATACTTGAATTAGGGAAAGCTGCATAGTAATCTCTTTGTTGCTTTCTTCTATATTTACTGAGGATATGATTTATATTATATAAAAATATTAGTTTTGTGTGTCAAATGACCACTGTGGGAGTGGACTAGAGAGAAGTAACTTAATTCACATATAATATCTTGTTGGCAAGAGGTACAGGATGAAACGTGAATGTGTGTCAACACCATAGCTAGAAAATTGGATGAGCTTCAGGTCTCTATATGATAAACTAAGATTTTGCATGAATTGGAAATTTCAGCTACCAAAATGGCTATTCTCCTTGTAAGCCTTAGTGAAGTGTGTTTCAAACCATTTGACCAGTAGCGGACCCATTTGTGGGATTTTACTGGTAAACTGGTTGGCAAATTGGAGAACGATAGAGAAGAGGTGCTTGAAAACCAGACTTTGCTAACAATCTGATAAGGGTAAACAGCAGTTGTCAAGAATCAGGCTTGTATCTTGTGTGTTATCTAGTGTAAAACAGATACTTTATTATTTTTCAGATTAGTGAATAGCAGAGATGAAATAACTTATTACAGGCCCTTAATTGAACCAGTAATTGTTTCAAAGGTGAGGCTTAGGGGAAAATAGCTGGATGTTAAATGAAAGCCCTCCTTCCTTTAAAAGGACCAGTTTATAACATCACTAAAACCCTCTCACAAGAATAGAAAATAGCCAGATCTCACCCACATCGTCATTCATATACAAGAAATAATTTGTATTAATCTAAAATGCTTAAAGAGGCTTAATGAAGCTATTTACAATTTATTGTAACAAACGTCAAAAAAAAAGAGAGACTTTAATCTAGGGTGTCAGTGGTATTTCAAGCTACACAATGCAGCTCTTTACTGGGCTTTATGCAATTTAGAATTTAGTGCAGCAATCTTCCCGACTCTTAAACTTCAAAACAGCATAGTTATATGTAGTAGCCATCATGTAGATCAGCTGGTGGAAGAGAACAAAATACATGGTATGAGAGACAACAAATTCTTGAAGCCTTTTAGGCAGTTGTGTTAGAATCAAAATGTCTACTCTGTCAAGCAAGGATTTCAGGGAAAGCTATGGAGGAAAAATGGCTTTCTAAAAAAAAGTCTAGGCCTGCTTGCTGCAGTATAAAGGACACCGAGGATTCATTATTTTCCCTGAAGGTAGCTCACAAAATATTAAAATGTTATTGTTACAACAATTCCTTATCTTACTGTTACTGTTTCTATTTCTAATAGTGGCCACTATGAAGAACTCAGTTCAGCCTGGTTCAGTATACTTGACGTTCCTAAGAAGTAGGCATACATTTTACACTCTCAAAAAGGACCTCAAAGGAAGGGAAGATAAGAGATTTAATTAAAAACATTTCCTATAATGGGGAAATTCAGAAGTGGCCCAACACTGGGGAAGTCTAAAAAACTAATACAAACATATTTCTATCAGGAAATGCCATAACTTGTCCATGCAATAGGATGGAGTTAAATAAAATAGCCAAAAAACTATTACAAAGCTTGCTTTGGTGCAGAGCTTTTATTGGGGAATGTAAACACTTGCCTGCCATTTGGAATATCCTGAGAAAACTACAGCCAGGTGCCAACAAACACAAAAAGTGTTACTTAGTTTAAGTTAGACAATCTTTGAATTTTGTCTGAAAAGGGAAACATTGTTATTTTAAAAGTGAGTGCAGATGATAATACTCACCAGTGCTATGACGGTGGCCCCAGCTCCAGCACAAGCCACAATGAACAGATGGTAAGACAAATAGAACTAAAACAGTAAAGTGGAAATATAATAAATTCAGATATTTAGTGGCACTTGGTATCTCTGTACAATTATTGGGATGTTGTCCAGTGCTCAAGGAAAAAACGATTGCTTTAATACTAAGAGAATGCAAATAGCTTTGGCTCCCCAGTTGGTCTGAATGATTGCCTTGACCAGGCTGGCTAGGGCGAAAGGAGCTGCAGGTTATCAACAAAAGGGCTACAAGCTTACTAGTCCAGGGACTGGATAAGTAAATACATGTTTCTGAGGTGGTACCCGAGTGGGCCCCAAATTTGTCCCATTTGTTTCATTTGTGTTTCCATTTCATTCTGTCCATTCAAATAGCACAAAATGGAAATGCCCCTCCTGAAATGAAAATGCAATCGAAGGCGGGCCTGCTTTTTGGATGGATTACATGGGGCCTGGCAGGGCCTGCAGCCAAGTACTGAGTAAGGAGCGCTCCTTGCTTGGTGCTGGGCTGCAGGCCCTGCCAGGTCTGGGCACATAAGTGAGGAAGCCTGCACTCACAGGCCCGAAGCGCCCAGGCCTACAGGTGCAGACTTTGGGTCTGTGTGCCTGGGCTTGGCAGGGCCTGCAGCTGAGCACCAGGTAAGGAGAACTTACTCAGCGCTCGGCTGCAGGCCCTGCCAGGCCCAGGTGCATAGGCCCAAAGCCTGCACCAGTAGGCCTAGGCATTTTGGGCCTACGGGTAAAGCCCTACCCACCAATAATGGAAACAAAAAAGAAAAACAAATATCTGCCTTCCCGATTTTGAAAGGCTCAGATGTAAATGGATCGGGGGCCCCACCAAAAGCCAGGACATGAAACGGATCAAGGTAAGTCCCGAATGCACATACCTAGTGCACACGTGATGCAGCACGTTGTGTTAACCCTGTGTACCAAGCCATGATACTGCAAACCGGCTGGTGCTGAGGTGTGCATTGGGCTTGCTAAATCTAAATGTGCAACAGCCAAAGGGCCAATTTATTCTACCAGATTCTGTCACATTCTTATCCCAAGTTGTCATCTAGTGCAATCACTGGCACTACATGACAGAATGGGATAAGTCTTAGCCTCGTTGCATTATATTTGGCTTTGTTTATACTAGTTTTTCTTTGAGCAGGGTTGCTAATTTATTCCAAACATGCAAAATCGGTGAAATGACACAATGCAGCATCTCACAA